ACGTCTCTCTCGATCAATCTCTAATCCTCCAATCTCCCATCTCCAGCCCTACCACGCTAACCGCATCCATCCCTCACCCCCAATTGCAAATGTCAATGATCCGACCCAAGAACCGCTGACGTAACCACCCCAGCCCCACCACGCCAACGTCCGGACGCCGACACACCGAATCAACGCGCGCACACAACACATGGGCCAGAGAGCCGGGTCCACTACTTGTCTAGAGTTGGTAGATCCAGGCACCGTGACAAGACTTTTCCCAAACACTGGCACTGCCGCCGGGGCGCAATCTACACCCGGTTCCGATGTCTTGTCAAGTAGGTATATACATACATGTATCTTGGCTGTGCAATTGCACGGCAGGACCAAAGGCGGCGAGTCTCGGCGCGCGCACAGAACACTGAGCAGGCGCGGCGCTCCCGACGCGAAGCGGCCTAGATGCCAGCCGTTGTTTCGCCGAGGCGGCGTAGAAGCCGACGCTAGCTAGTAGCTGGCTATGCAACAGGTGGAACACCGATGCGATGGCTTGGCCGGGGCCCGGCCTCCGAGGCGACAGCTGCAGTGATTGAGGTCCAAAGCGCTTACCGAATAGAAACAGTTGCATGTGGATATACATATATCCGCCCGCATACAGAAGTTGCACAGCGGGCCGGGTGCGGTGGGTGCTTGTACCTAGTAGTGGTGCTTGGCATGACCGCCGGAATTGAGGTTGTGGTGGATATCTGTACTCTCGGTGCTGTTCCGCGCGTGTAGACGGGGGTGTGCTTTCTTTCTCCTCGAGCCGCGGACGATCCAGGCGTGGGAACGATAAAAACATTTTTTTCGCTCGGTGCGTCAGTCATTATGCATCACTCGCCTCCCGAACACGACGAGTGAGTATCTATGATGTTCGCCTTGGCAGAACAACTGTCATCGGCGGCTAAGGGGACGTGTTTCCAGTCAAATTATGATCCTGGTGTAATAGTGTCGCTGCGGGCAAAGGAAATCGCTTACAATAGGCGGAGCTTTCATCGCGACCGTTAGGATATAGATGTGGTGTGGTGTGGTGGTGGTCCTGTTGGGCAAATACTATTAATAGTATGATTACCTAAACCTCGATCAGCTCGAGGCGGGCAGGAGGATCTGCCTCGAGCATGCATACCTCGTAGACTCCGTGCCTTGAGCTGCCTCGAGGCAGTGACCTCGAGGCGAGGCCTCGAGCGGCAATTCCTCGTGGACCACACTACGCAGCACCATCCGCTTTCACAGAATGGTAGGTAACACCGGCTGTTGATGTATATCTACAGATACCATAGATGGTTGAGGTACGTGAATTCGTAGATAGATTGAGGATTGAAATACATATATATATCTATATACCCAGGAGTCGTAATTGCTTTAAATCGTGTCTGGATTCAAGTCGGGAACGAAATGGTTGATCCCCGACGCCAAAAACAAATGGCGGAACAAGCGCAATGGGGGTGGAGGCCACACAGCGGCGCAGACGTAACCTATGTAATAACATCATAACAAGATCCGTCATATTTTATTCAGGGTACCGCGGGGGGGGGGGGGGGGGGCGCCAGATAATCAATCCAGGCTCATCTCTGTTCGGGTAGCACCCCCTCTGACAGATACAGCTCGAGTTCTACTCTAACTCTTGTAGCCAAGGGCCCCCAAATCCTGAGAACCCTGCTATCGGTCTTATGCTTAAAAAGTCAGAGACGATGAAGACATGGACTGTCGCGCTTCGGCCATCCTCCACGGCCACCCTTACGAGAATCACGGTCTTATCCGTCTTAACCCCCACAAAACTTTATAATGTTTTTCGGGTGGCAGGGAGGTATACTACTTACCCTTACCTGTGGTGGAGTGTCTGGAGTGGCATATGCGGGCAGGGCAGAGCCGGCGGGCTCCCCGGATCTATCTGGAACGTCAACTATATATGACTGGTGCCTAAATGATGTAAGAGATTTTTGATGAAGGGACCGCTCCCATCAGCATCTTAAGCTATGCGTATCGTAGCAATTAATGAATTAAACAAAAAAAACAAAAAATATGCGTATCGAAATCATGGGCCATCACTCGCAATCGAGCGCCAAATCACGGCATCCTACCGGAGCTAAGAGGTTCTTTGACATAATATCTTCAGTCGGATCTGTTGAAGAGTAGACGAGTACGAGTATTATTCAATTGATGTCGAGTATACGGCTAATACATGCTATCTTATAGGAGCCCGGGCAGGACACTATTCCTCTTTGACAGCGGGACCTTTACTATTTGACACTGTTTGACACCTCCTTACAAGCTAGCCTGTATATATAGCGGGGAACAGACCAACTAATAATCAGCACTTGCTCTACGCGAAAGCATGGTTTTCTCGGTGGGTGCCTTATCAAGCATGTTAACTCTAGTGATACACAAGATACAAGGCTCTCATGGAATGTAAATGTAGGTGGAGAGTTAACATTGTGGAATGCTGGGCCAGTTACTACTTCTAGGGGTGAGGCGAATGAGGGTAAACGAGGGAGCGAGCAAGCGAAGGAGAGGGGAAAGAAGGAAGGAAGTAAGATGCGTGCGTAAGCCGGAGGAGAGTGAGTAATGCCGAAGGAGGCTATCATCCATCTCTCTCCTTTTATGTAATCTGTGATATATTAGCTCTAGTATGCAACTCTAAGTTATTCTATGAGTAGCGTTAGTATGTACATGTAGTTCATGCAGATACAATGGTATCAAGGAAATCCGACCTTCATATATAAAAATATAGCTGTGGTTCTGCCAATGTTTGTTCTTTTATATCCATCAATTGCAATAGCTACACGCCTTTTGTTGCTAGTTCCCTTCCATCTCGGGAGTATTTCTTTGTTGAATGATATGCAATCAATATTATAAATACATGTATTAACGTATTGCGCTGTAACTAATAGGAGACGCTCCTGATGACGATGAGGAAGACTATATAGTTTAGAAATCCATTATGTGCTGAGCAAGCACACAAATCTTTGTGTTTAATTAGCTTTGAGCAAACCGACAATTCAAGTGCCGGAGACAGCAAATACTGGGTTTCTCAGTTAAAGAACTTGTTGGGGCTACCCGCAGTGTAGAATATTGCTGCAATTTTAAGTTTTTACTCATTGTGTCGTTTGTTACTAGTGGGATGCTTTTCTAATGTGCACTATGAAAAATGAAAGATATTTCCCATCATGGAAGACCAATGCTGCTATTCGCCAGTGTACCGGACCGTGTTGACACAGGCGCCAAAAGAAGGGAAGCTGGTTGGGTGTACTAAAGAGAGTAGGAACAAAAATATGAAAGTGAAAAAAAGATCGAAATATATTGAGCAAGAAAAACCTCATAATTTATAACTACCCCTCGAACTAGGCTAAAGTAAAGAGTTCAAAACTAAACTCATGCGCCTTATGAATAAAATGGTGTCCACAGCAGAGGTTCTTTCATGAGCTGTCCCTTAACTTCTTGACTGCGTAGTGGAACGCAGCGCCGACCTTTCGATGCCCACAATCGCTCTCGGAAATGCTACTCTCCGAATAGTTTACGATAAAACTCGGTAGTAACATTTAGGCAAGCATCATCGTCCGAAGGCCACATATTTGCAAGTACATGACTAAATCCGGCAAGTTGAAAGGCACTAGCTATATGAACTGACTCATCTGCAAGCTTCCTGGATGAAATTCTGGCGGTAGAACAGGCTGACAAATATGCAATTTGTGCCCGTTCCATGTTGATATCTGATATTGCCCCCGCTGTTAATATATCGATACCGTAGGTGCAATCCTTACCCCCACGGGGTAGCGAAAGGCTCTTGAAAGGGTTATTCTCATCAGAATATATTGGACATGCATAGGGAAATGCGCCTAATGAGACGAGTCTTTCATGTGTTTCATCGGCGCTTAGACCCTGGAGGCTCTCGGACTTAAACCCTGGTGGCAATAAATATGCAGTCTCCGGTTTGTCCAATACAAAATCTGATATTGCCTCAGCGCTTAATCTATCAACACCGGTGGTGCAATTCTCAACGTCCCGGAGCAACAAATGACTGTTGAAAGGGTCATTAATATTGGAGAATCCATGACATGCAAAGTGAACCGCACCGAATGAGGGAAGTTGTTTGAGTACCTCAGCGGAACTGGGACTATTGAGGATCTCGGTCTTAATCCATTCCGGTGACAGATTCACGATTGACTCAACCTCACTATTAACATGGTTCAGTCGCGATTGACCGCGCACTTTAGGCGTAGCAACAATGAGCAGACTCGAGTCACCATGTGGGAATGCCAAAGGTCTCTCCCGAGCGTAAGAGAGGGCTTTAAGTGTTGGGATGTAGGAGCTGATTGCGTAGGCTAGAGTATTTCTGGTTGATCCAGGGGAATGGTCCCCAGCGGCGTGAAACGGAGCTAAACCCATGATATCTGCACCAATCCACCATATCCGAGGAAGCACATCGCCTGAAGAAACGATGCCTTGCGTCTTCAGCTCCTCGATCACAGGCTCAACCGCTGTATCCCATAGCCAAATCAGAAACCTTTCCATCTTCGCGGATCTTAATTGGTACGAAGATTTTCCTCCGGGAATTATCTTGGTGTTGAGCTCTTTGATTCGACGGCACGCAACAACGGAGTGGGTGAGATTGGGAAGTGGTATAGACTTGATACACGATCTTGTGACAATTATCGCATCACTTCGAGTGCTCGTACACACTTCAATCACCACTGGGCCGTCTTTGGCAACTTCAATAAGCTCTTCATAAGAAGGCGGTAACTGGAACCGTTCGAATCCCGGATGCCCCCTAATTTCTTGCAATGTTTTTGAAAGCTCATCGACGTTAATCATTCTCTGTCGCTTTAGATTTTCTTCCGTGGCTCTCCGCTCTAAAGTACTGGGGCTAATCGGAAACCTAGATAATAGCTCTTCACGATTTTCGCTTGGGGAGTCGACACGGCTACGTAGGGTATTGAATTTGTCAAAAAGGTCAGGATTTATTTTCTGGAGCTCCTGAAGGTTCCCTGTAGTACTCCTGCAGTCGATTGTGAATCCTAGGATAATCCCTCGACTCTGTTCAAGGACTGCCAAGCAATGGGATGCTGGTTTTCCTGCGTTTAGGCCTACGGACACCGCTATTGATCCGAGAGTTTGGCCATCGATTTGCGCGCGGTGTCGGTGATTGCGTTGACAATATTGAGGCACTCTTGTGGGGAGAACTGCAATTCCTTCCGCACATATTGTGAATGCTTTCTCCCATCTCTTCTGACCTCCAATAAGCTCAGGGCAAGCAATAAGAACACTCATAGCAAGAAATGAACACATTATCCGGCTTTTTGGTGTCGCAAGCTTGGACCTCAAAACCATTTTGCAAAGTTTGTAAATCTCCTTTGCCTTTAGAACACCCAGTGGTTGATCCCGGCGCCAGACAATATGATACGCGAACCAGTCGGCGGCGATCTCCGCGGAGCTCTCCAAGCGCTCAGAATCATCATCTAGTGGGATGAGTACAAATCTCTCTTCTTCTATTTGAATTTTCTCTAGTAAAGTATCCGCCGCTTGCTCATGAGATTTGACGCGATCCCTAAGCAGTTTATGATAGCTAGATAGCAAATCAAACCTCTCGGGTGCTGCGTACGAAGCCCTTCTCAGCGACTCACGAGAGATGTGAAGTGCATGGTCTATACAACTTTGTGCATTTGGCGCCTCTTGGTGATAACGTCCGGGTCTGGTCTGATAGAGCATATTGGATTTGATGGCCACGATGTATTCTAGTCGACGCAACCGGTTGTGCGTACTCAAATCATGGTCACCAGGCTGAGGCATAGCGCGTAACGCCCTTCTTGATAAATCGACGGATCTCTCAAGGTCGGATACTTCCCCCAATCGCAGATATCGCAAGTGAATTGCGTCTGACAACTCGGCCAACATCCCTGATCGCGTCCTATCATCTGATATCCCCAACTTCACTGACTCTTCATATTGTAGTATACATTTCTCGAGGTCTGCGACATCACCTAGGACCTCAAACCTTGTAAGGAATGCCAGACCCAGATGTGCCAGATAGACTGACTGGTCTCCCCCTCCCTCTGGATCTTTAACCACCTCATACAGCAAATCAACTGCGGTATTTATATCCGAAAGTACTCTAGAACGCTTGAATCGCTTTATGAATGCCAACCCCAATTGGGAAAGGCCTTTTTTGTAATCATCTCGTGACAAAGTCCTAATAACGTCCTGAAGTAGACTAATGCCTTGGTCACTCATTTCGTGTGCGTCTAGCATCGCGCTTGCCCCCAGAACCAACACAGACTGTTCGGTTGTTGGTGATAATGATTTCAGTTCATTGCATAGCGTCATCATTTTAGTGACATCTTGCCAACCCAGCTGACCAAGTGTGTGTGACATCTACCGGAGATACTGCGCATCATGAGTGTAACGACAATACCACGACATGGGTGGCTCGATGGTACCAAATCAAGCGCAACTTTTAGAGCGTCAATGGACCGCTCAACATCGACTTCGTCATGACTCCATTCGAACCTCTCAATCAGATATGCCCCAAGTCGGACTAGATTCGACATCAACAGTGGAACTTGTTGATCCTCTTGTTCAATAATTTCTATGGCTTTTTGGAGATCTTCTGGTTGTGTCATGCTCATGTGCCTATGGTAAAGCACATCAGCTGTCCACTGCGCTCTCTGGGTCCACCGAATATCCTTTTTGTTTCCATGCAGGACTTGCTCTTTGAACTTCTCAAAGCTGCCAGTGGGCCGCGTAGTGGAAGGGTAACCGTATTGTTTCGTGTGATTCTGCATCGCCTTGTGCGTGAGATAGAATCGTGCTTCGTTGCGCTCAATAAGAGATAAATATAGGGTATCGATCAAGCTGTCGATATCCTGCATATAATAGAAGACTACAGGATATTCGCTATCCATCTTTCTGGAGAGGCGTGTTAGTCCCGCTTAAAGAAGTGTGCTTCATGAGAATATCTTCAAACCTGATCCGTTTAGGTGTGTGATCAACTTTAGAGTGGATAATTCCTTGTGTTTAGACTCGGTGGTACGTTGACGATTTTATAAACAGTCGTTGCCGCCATGGGCTCAAGAGAATACCAGAGTATCTTATATAATCAGTGGCGTGTTTGTTTTCTCTAAAAGATGTACCCCTCCTCCCCCCTTGTCAAAGCGCACATACATACCCTAGAAAGGCGGCCTATCGGTGTGTATAGGAATATACAGCACCTTTACTTGAGCGGCAGTAGAATTCATCACTGAGATAAGGGTCATTGACCTTGACCTCTGGGCGGGTAAGGCGGGTCATTCACAAGACATCTTTTGCAGGTAGGGTGACATTTATCCATTGATAGATTATATGGCCCCCGAAAAACGTTTAATGGCATAATAGAGACTCTGCGCAAATAGAGCTGGCTCTCTATTATGGTTATCTGATTTGGGGAAGGTGAGATCGGCTGCACCGACCAGATCGCTCTAACACCACTTTCAGGCTTGTGCATGTGGGATGCGCGTTGTGCCTCTACAGACTCTGGTAGAATTATCGCGAAAGTGGGTTTTCCGTGACCCGATAGTCATATTGGCCCTTGAAGGAATTTCTGCAGTGCACAGACCAAGAAGCCCACTCTTTTAGTTCTGACTTTCGCAATAATTCTACCAGACTCTGTACTCGCGACCAGCAACAAGAACCCGAAAATGCACGTCCTAATCTGCAATTTCCATTGGAGTAGAAGTCAAAAATACACCAAGGACTTGCAGCTGCATATTCGGGTTCTTGTTGTTGCTGGCCGCGAGTAGTTGCTGCCGCGCACTGGCCTCAATCGCCCCGCAGTAAGAATGGAGTATGAGTACATACCTTTATTTTTATTCTCTGTTTGCGGCCCTGTGTCATCGTGGTTAAACCCGTGTGACTATGAATTTTTAACTCAGACGACCAAAAAAAGGCGAGAGAATTCTTCTTGGGTGGCGAGAGCTAGAGGCGAAAACTACATTACTGCTCACTAGTCTTATTCTCAGAACGATCTTTTTTGCCGCACTTTGTTTAGATGTCCATGTGTAATTCTCCTCAGTTAATCATGTAGTGGACAGAGGCGAATTGCGGGCGTACAAAATACAGGAAATGCGGGGTTACGCTTGATTGCAAAGCGCAAAGCGAAGCACGGCCCACCCCTTCATAATGGCACAGACCATGATCATACAAGGTCTTGAGTCTGGTACCTACACTATTGGACATTTTGTTTAGTATTAGGAATTTGTTCTTCTTCCTATCACTCTAGTATCGCACCTTTTTTAGTACTAAGCTTTCACTTTTCCGTTACTTTCATTACGAGAGTATATATCATGCACGTGCATCCAGCTGGTTTAATATATAGCTGGGGAAGCCTATACCCGGGGTGTCCGCGACATTCAGTTTGGTAATTATAATACAATTAATTACTGCTTTTAGGATTAAAATAAGAAAGCCAATGCCAAGATATCTTTGATTGGCTCTATAATAGCTTTACTAATCCTAATCATGTAATAGTACACGCTTCTGGGAGAGAGAATTATCCAATTAGGCAATAATTGAGGCGACATTGAGTGGGCTCCCCATTAAAGTATACCATTTAATGACGCACTACACCTCAACCACAACACCTAAATTAATTATCTCTCTATAGAACTGTAGAGAACAAGCAGAAGAACTATTCCATAGGAAGAGAAATAATTTAGGGGTTGTGGTGGTCGAGGAGTTGGCGCTAGAACTAAGGTCAAAAAGTGCACCGGATATAAGGTTCCCCAGCTGTAAAATATTCACAATATCAGACCTTCATCTTTTTACTTTTTCATGGGGGCGAGCACGTCACACTCGCCGGAAATAGGGGCCTGAGGGAAAATTATCAATACTCTACTCGTGTTTTCACAGCGTTTGTGAACACAACCGGCATTACATACACACAAAAATAGCCAAGACAACCTTTTTGTATGGCATGCAATAGCGGTGGTGTTCACAACGCTATGAATAAGACGAGTAGAGTACTCGCCTATTTCAGGTGGGCAGGGCCTCTCACTCAGTGGCAGAGCCCGTAGGTATAGTTCTCGTTCAATAATCATGGACAACGCAACCGCGAGTTGCTACGGGGGCTTGTCCCAGGATTTTTGACATGGAGTTATACATACATTTTGAAGAGCAAAATGCCCTTTTCAATTTCAGCCAACCAGAACCGAGGCCGACCAATTATTGCGAAACGAGCCATTAACATTAATAGACCTCGGGGCATACAGATAAAATATGACATTCTTTATCCAGTCTGGCGACTTGAGGCGGTGTGGTGGGTGTATGCCAGTAGGGCCGCTGGAATGATCCATCAATGTGAGACTTGTTTTTTAGTCTAGGCATGTCTATGATCATTTCTCACTGCATGCACCCCTCAAATAAAGCGTTCTTCTTCAAATCTTGACAGGCCTTGCAACTTTCATTAGTTCTCTCTTTCGCCGCACTTGTCGTAGCATCTTACCCTCCTCCTCTATCACCCAATATTGCAATGTCAGCACTCCCTCCGCCTCTCTCCAACATTGCTACCCCCGATACCGTTCCGATCGGTGCCCTATTCGTTAATCCCCAGGACCTCTACGAGGATCTTCATGACTCCTTCCCCACCCGTACGGACCTTCCAACATCTATCGTCATCAAGCCTTTTGGCATCTACAAGACCAGCTCGACGATGAATAAAACCTCGAAGCTACGTTCTACTCTAGTTGACTTACTAGCTCATACCCGTCACTCTACCGACACCTCTGCTAGTGAGCTCTCTGCCTCGGAGGGCGAGCGTCACACTATATTGAGCCATCCTGAGTTTGTATTGGCATGATCTGATTGCGGATGTGATTTCTTCTGTTGTTACTTCCTGGAAATCGTCAATAAGGTCAAAAGAGGGGGGTCTGATTTGGAGTGGAGGTTGTTGGGGGACGTCCAATTTGTGGGGAAGAGTTGGGCTCTTAGAGCTTGACACTTCCCCGCAAACGTTTCTTCACCTTGTATAGTTGCGATGGTAGTGTCCCTCTTTTTCCATTTGTTGACTAGTTTCCAGATGGCGCTTCCCTTGGCCTCCGTGAGTTCTTTCTCCCTTTCTTCTGCCTTGGCTTTGCGGATCGCTGCGGTCCATTTCCTGCTCGTTTTCCTGAAGGTTTCTCTGTCTTCATCCTTTTGGGTGTTTCTGGCTTTCCCTCTCTAGAGTGTTGAGGGTTGATTTGAGTTTCTTCAGCTATGGGGTCCACCACTTCTTGGACTTGAGATGTCCTTGGCTCCATGGGGTGACTTGGTCTATTAGGTTATCTATATGTTCGAGGATGAAGTCGACCGATTGTTTTGTCTGATTCTGGCTTTTCCATGCTTCGGAGGGGAAATGGAGGCCTGAGATGTTTTCTTCCAATTTCTCCCAGTTCGTTCAATGCCATAGTTTCCTGGGAATGTGGGGGGGTTTCTCTATTCGTAGTTGCAGGATCGGTTTTCCGTGATCGGAACCTGCTTCGTGTCGATCGATGTTCCAGCGGATATCGTGGTCTTGTATCGGTCCTTTGACCAATGTCAGGTCGATAATGGTCGGTCTGTTGTTGTTCCTGGGAAAATGTGTGAATTCGCCTAGTTCGTTGAGTAGGGATAACCTTTGTCGATCAAACCATTTTTTGAGCTTCTTCGATCCGGATTTGTCTGCTCTGATTGTATTGGTGTAGTCGTGGGATCTGTGTCCGTACCAAAGTTGGTGGTGGCTGTTAAAGTCTCCCATGCCGAGGCAGTTTTGGATGGTAGTTACTTGTCGGAAGATTTCTGCGAAGGGTCCGCTTCGTCCTGGTGAGTATATGTTGAGGATTTGTGTTTTTTGGTTTTGGATTTCCACCGTAACGGAGACGATGAAGTTAGTATGGGTGTAGTGGTGTTTTGGTCTTAGGTTGGCGTGTTTTCTGATGTATGTAGCAGCTTTAGTGCCTTTGTTGCTGGCTGTAAAAAGGTAAAAAAGAGGGCATTCCGGTGGGTGGCCGTCATTGTTATTCCATGGTTCTTGTAATAAAAGAAAAAGTATGTTATGGTCCTGTTCTGCTTCCTCCACTACTGACTTTGTTGTGAGCTCATTTTTCGCGCAGTTGAGTTGCTGTGCGATAGCCGTTGTCCTTTTATTGTAACTCATTGGGAGTTATCCATGGCTGCATCTTCCTGTGGGGATCTTGGGCCGGGATAACTATGGGTATTGGTAGCGGGCTTGGGTTTGTGTCTGGTCCGAGTCTGTTTGTGATTCGGACTTTGGTTCGTTCTGGGCAGTTGCTATTTGTTGCTTTGTGGGGGGCCTTGCAGTGATAGCATCGGATGGGTGTGTGTGAGCATCTGAGGCCCCCGGCGCATTCTGTGCATGGGTGGTCCTTGGTTTGGTGTTCCTCAGCACAATGTCAACATCTTCTGTTGGTGTGGGAGCAGTGTTCTTGCCTATGTCTGTATTCAAGGCATTTGGTGCATTGGGTTTCTGGGTTTGCAGGGAGGTAGCTGTCGATTTTGCAGTTTCTGTCAATGAGGGTGAGGTATCGGAGACCGAGGTTTTCTTTGGTAAATTGTCCGGGGAGGGCGATGATCATGGAGGAGTGTGATTTCCCGATTTTGGCTTCTGGTTTTGATAACCATCTCGGGATTTGTGCTAGTTCGAAAGTGTTGCCGTAGTTGTTTCTGATTTCCGAGGCCAGGAATTGTCCTGCATCAAATGCTTCCCCTATGGAGGTAGGGATGCCGTGGAGGATGAATTTGGACCATCTGGAGTTAACCCGGATGTCGACGAAGGGAACTTTTAATTCGTTCAGGGCGGTTTCGATTTCCTTTTTGTATTCAAGGACCTTTGTTGCTGGGGTTGTGAATTTTGATTCCAGGATAATGTTGTCTTGGTTGTTTTCCGGGCAGCGATTAGTTGACAGTCGGGGTCCTGGATTTTTGCATTTATTTTAGTCTGATGTCCGATGGGGTGACTGAGAGTTCTTTGTTTGTTTCGATTACAATTTCCCTGTTGAGTTTGGTGATTTCAGGTTTGAACAGGGGGTCTGCTTTGGGTTTGTTTTTCCTCTTGTTCGTGACGGTCGTGAATTCGGGATTCGTGTTTCCTGCCGCGGCGGATGCATAAGATTTCGGTGCCGGTGGAGTCAGTGTTTCCTTGACTTTCCCTTTTGGCTGTTGGGCGTGGTTGGGGTGGTTGAGGTTGTTGGCGGGTGTGGTAGGGGCGGTGATGGTGGCTGCAGCGACGGCGGCAATTACGGCAGTTCTTCCTTCAGTAACTGCTTGATTACTGGGCCTGTTGACGGAGAGGTTGGTGAGCTGTTGTTGGAGGCGGTGGAGTTTTTCCGATATGTTGTCCTGGTTCTTTGTTATTTCAAACATTTGTTTGGCCAGGATCTCAACGGTGTGTTTGAGGGACTCGTTTTGGACGGATAGGACTTCGATGGTAGCTTTTAAGCCCTTGTTGATTTGTTAAGTCGTTTGGTTGATGGGTTCAAGCGCTACGGTGAGGGCGTTTCTAACTACCCAGGATACGTAGTTTAGGTCCATTCTGGCGTGGGTTTCATCAGGGACGATGCTGGGGTGAATGTAGTCGTATTTTGGTGCATATGGCTCATTGTATTGGGTGTGTTCGGCGAAGATGGAGAAAGGTTCATTGCCAAGTTGGGTTTGTTCCACTGGGGTGGACTCTGTTTGTTGGGTTGATTGGGTGTCAGGGAAGCGGGGGGGTGCCGGTGTTCCTGGTGGGGGGCTCCTGCGAACCAGGAGCTCAGGGAGGCTTGTTGGGACATCACTGATGTTCCAGTTCGGGTTGGGTTGGGAAAGACTTCTGATAAAGTTCTCTTTTTTCCCACAGTATTTGGTGGGTTGGGTGGGTTTGGTGAGGCCAGGTTGTTGTTTTCACTGCAGTCGCGAGGCTTAAGCGAGGGTTTGAGGAGGTGAGGGTTCACAACTCAGGAACTAGAGCGTGAATAACTTCGCGTACGAACAGATGTGTGATAAGATACGAATAAATTACGCGGTCTATTGACATACAGGATCGTGTTCGAGTAAAAGTTTTATCGGGAGTGCAGGCCAAAAGTTATTGTTGTTCGAAAGTTTTGGTGTTGCGAGGGTAAATACAGTAAATTGCGTGAAGAGAAAAGGAAGGAAAGGAAAACATGAAAAAGCACGAGACAACACCCCTTTATATATCCAACCCCTAGTCCGTTGATGACTCATACCTCGCGTAATGGAAACCAAAAGAACATGAAAGAAACCCCATTACAAATCCTAGCTCAACTGTGTGATACCTTCTCTTCACGATCCGGCCTATCATTTTAGCCAACAGATAATATTGCCGTTACAGAGACGACGTCTTGTCCCGAAAAGACGTGATTTGCGCCTTGAGTGCGTCTTTTCACGAAAAGACACAGAGCGGTCGTCGCGTGGCGCACAGCCGTCGGTCTACAGGTAAGCACAAGTCTTGGGTCATCTGGGGCATCTGGGGCATTTCGGGCGCCCAGGCGTCCCAAGACGACATGTCAATTTTTGCTGATGTTTTTATTAATCTACAACCTGACTTTCTATTTTATACCGCAGTCTCTATATTTTTTTCATCCATTTTTTCCCCAGAAGTTACCCCAATTACAGAAACAACTGGCTCTATTATACTTGACATAGTCTTCTATAGCAAAGAGCAATGTTATATGGTTCGTTCTATATAATCTCAATGCATAGTAAGTATAACAACATTGAGTTTAGAGTGGTTGGTCACGCGTGAGCTCCAAGGAATAAAAAGTCAATGAATGAAATATAACTTTTAAAGACTCTAAATAAACAAGTGAGTAACACTCTTTGGTATTTTAGAAAAATCTACAGAGTGCTCCATACTAATCCATTCTAGCCTCACTATAATTTCTATGCCTCTAATGGCAAGAGTTGTTGTATTAGAAGCCATTATTGAACCATCCATAACCTCGTTCGAGGCTGAGGGATCTCAATCATGGACTCTCACTCTCAGTTCTCTTGACGCCGAGCCAGTTGCGTTAAAAGCCCACATGTCCTGGGGGACCCGCCGCAAAGTGATCCCAATCACATTATATCACTCGCACTTGGCTATCATCTCAAGCTGGAAAGTAATGATACTAAAGTCTGTTCGCTGTCACCACCTGAGAATTAGTACATGTATGTACCTGGTGTTACTTAAATCTTATATACTATACGTAGTTTGTCTGGATCATACCTGAATTGCAAGTCTGAAGAAGTTTTGGAACGCTCTATTATAGTCCTAGTAACCTGCATTAATTATTGTAGTGAGAGGGTTTAACAGGCCCCGTTGCCGCTTGAGGTCTAATATTAGCGGTCTATAAAAATATCTACTTGATTTGCTCTAACCATATCGTGGACAAGCCCGGACACAGCAACAGCAACACGTATTTACACTGGTTTGGACTGTTTATTTATACATAAGTCTACTCTAGTGGTAGTGAGGCTTTATGGGTGAGGGTTAGCATACCTATTATATATATAGGCCCAACAGACACCAAATATCAGCATTGCGATTCCCCCACTCTACCCGGAAACAATAATTCAACCAATTATGTATAGTCTTAACAATGTTCTCGCTACCAATTTGAATTAATTCTTCAATCCTACAGGTATTCCCATCTTCTGTTCTAATTTCTCCCATGGATTTTCTGTGAAGCTCTTTGAAAAGAATGCCCCAGGTGAAGATCCAGAACTAACGTCGCCATCATAATTATTAGACCCCCGAGCTCTGGCTCCCTAAAAAAATTTGAATGTTATAAAAACGTTTAATACTACCTGTAGTCACGGAAGGAGGGGGAACCGTACCTGCCCATAGCTACGAGATGCTTTGTGTCGTTGCTGTTCTGACCCTCCGGCCTCGTTTCCGGCATTCGTATTATCTCCTGACAGAGGCACAGGAGCCGCTTCCTTTGGAATTTCGACTCTTGGAAGGGATCCGGGAGGTCCCGAAGGCCCATGATGTCGATGTTTGGGCCGTTTCGGTTGTTGGCCGAAAGATGTAAACCCCATAGCTTCCAACTGGGCACTGGTTTCGATATCATTATCCTTTTCGTCCTCCATCTTGATCGAGAGGATATGTGGATCCAGCTAAGGAGTTGCGTAGCTGAGGTTGAGGTTGAGATGGCTGGGATTGTGCTATCGCTTTCAGGAAATTCTCTTGGCACGTAGAACGAGGACCAAAAGTCTGGGCACGAGACTAAAGCATATCTCTACCTACAAAATCTATTCCACCATCCCCTTCTGATAACCTTCACGATATTTACCTTTAATCTTCTGATCTTGAGTCTAACTGCTTTGATATGGCTCCTATATAAGCTTCTTATTCCCTTTCGTAGCTTCTGGTCACGCTTACGCATTTCTTGTTATATATATCAAGGTAAATACAATACCAGAACCCCAAATGCAGAAACCCTTTTGTTCTATTTAATTGATAACTGCCTTGCATGTGACCCGTTTGACTGCACAGAGGCTAATTCTACTCGCAAAAGTTTTGAAGAATCGTTTCGAGGACCTGTGAATTCAAAGCACACTGCTTCACTAACTCTTTCTCTTTAGCTAGATCTATATCCGGGTTTTGTAGTTGAGACCTGTAATCTGCTAATGTCTAATTGGTTCAGAGAGTGCCTATTGGGTTGGATAGACCGACACCTCGAGATGCTATACTAGCAAAGCGGGAGGAAGAATTGAAGGCTTCTTGACAGAGCGGAGAAAGCTAATTCTAGTAGTCCCAGTACTGACATAGTAAGTTTATTTGCTTGGAGTACCCCTGTTCATATACATATTCCTTTTATATGACAGTACTGTACCTACATGTACATGTAGATACATGTACCTACTCCCCACTTGTATGTGTACCTACATCTAGGGTATAAGTTGGAGAATATTTCTTTAGATGCACTATAATCTATGTATTTTTCACTCCTTTAAATTTTAGACTCAAGGACATTTACAACCGATGTGATGTAACGCTTCGTATCTATCCATCCATTCTCTAAGTTGCCATAAGAATAATTCTCAGTCAATAATTATCTAGCCTCCGTAGAACCTAACGCCTAATATCACCGGCCCCGCCGGCGCTTTGTCGACCAAAGATAGACACCCTACCACAATTCCGGCCATCCCCTATAGGTTTTTACACCGAACGCAGTGCTCGTTGTAAACCACCAGATCTGAAAATACATGACTGAGCATGCGACGCATTGGCCAACCAGTGATCTTTCCTCTGCGAGTCTCCGGAGTATATATTTACATACACAGCTACATTACTTGTTTACACTGTTGAAAACAGAGCTATGTCAGCATCTTATTTAGCAAAATAGCTTCTACGCCGTAAGTAAGCAGCATTTTAACTCTGATGAGATGATAACCACTGATAAAAGTAACACCACGCTCAAGGGCAACATTCCCTCGTAGGCGTAAGAATATTTTACATAAGTAGAGAAAACGACTATACAATCCCTGGTACGCGCATCCTGATTTTCTGTTCATTGACTCCAGATACCTCTATAACCTACGCGATTAAAAAAAAACAGAAGAGAAGTTTGCTCCATACGCCCGACACCGGAAAGAAAAGAACATTAAAAAGCTGCATCCAGAACAAAGAAAAGTACTTGGACACGGAGTAGATTGGGAGGAACTCCTTTGTGTGCCATTCTCCTTTGTTACCCTCTAATTGACATGTACACATGATGGTGGAGCTGTCATTGGGATGGGGGCGGTATGCGATCACGTGCCATGTTGTATTCAATGGGATATCTGTATAAACCCGTTCAGTATTACTCGCATGATTGCGTTCGGGAAACTCACTTCCGCTCTGTTTTCTGTTTCAGAACCCTAATTGTAGAATCGTTAGCAACTGATAAAAGCGGGTTAAAGCAGAGATATCAGGATTAAGCGTACTTGACTTTCCGGTGAACATAATCAAGATCCGACTTAACTTCCTTCGCAATCTTCATGCCATCCAGGAATGCCCGCTTGGTTTCTGCCAACCGCGCCTGAGCTTCCTCTTGAAGTGCAATAAGTTCCCGCGTTTTACTATTAAGCATTCCCGAACTAGAAACGGAAGTTCAGCCACTTGATGAGATAGAATATTTTAAGTAGAGTATTCACGTTTGAGCTTGAACTGCTAAGCTGCGATCTAATTGCAACGGGTCAAATGCGCCCGCTAATCGCTCAGTCAGAAGGGCGACCAGGTCAATCTCGGTATCATTGGTACTTTCACCGTCGGCACTCCCAGCGTATGAGGAGCTTGAGATAGAGGATGTACTCAGCGAGGGTGGGCCTTGGCCGTAAGAATGTGGCGATGAAGGGGCGTAGTGGATTGGAGATGTATCGTTACCTGGGGACGTGCTCGAAGAGGACGGAGGGTGTGGCAGATGCTTTGTGGGCGATACATGTTGGTGCGGCGATGGGTATGGGAGGGTATAACTTGGTGTTCTTGGGGGTTGATGCTGACGATGTTGGTTGAGGTCCGGCTTGCGTTCCATTTGGTTTGAGAATCCGAATGATGTTGGGTGGTTCATGGCAGCTAAAGAGAGAGAGAGGGAGAACAAGATATTGTTGAGCGTAAATGTTCTCAGACCTCTTCGTGTGCTTGGTCTGTTCTCATCCACCTACTCACTACCGTCTTTCACAACTCTTTCGCTTCTACGCCGTATCACCCTTCGTGGTTTTTGAGGAGGGATCGTGACGAGAGATGTTGACGACGGTCGGACCACTGAGTGAGTTGAAGTACAGATATTTGAGTATATGTTGTACGAGAGAGGTCGTGGGGAATGAACGCCAGTACCGTCCGAGAGGTGTCCATCGCTAAGAACAGCCAGCGCATTTTCCCTCTTTTATTACAATTCTCTCTCCCATCTCTCAATTATTGACGCCGCACCTCTTTTCTCTTCGTCTCGGCTCTCCTGGGAAGCAGCCATGGGGGAAAAAAAATAGTGGTGGTGGTAGGGGTTTGCTTGCTTTGGTTACAGTCGACATCGGGAGATACGTGAATTATGAGTTGGCAGTCAGTGTTTGCTCTACGTGCACATTAATACGTGTATCTCCTGGGCCTGTTGAGTGTCGATAATCAAGGATATGCTTCGTTGGATGGCATTTGTTTGCTTTTTCACTCCGGCTTTTATTTCCACACATTATATGTACTTATTCACACTTACCAAAGGAGCCATAGCACCCCAAAACTTAACAATACCTACACATTTCTATTTATCCCTTTTTATCGCACAATTGTAGGTGTTTGAAATCATTGTTTAGGCAGCTGCCATATGTGAGTACCTGTAAGTACATGTATTTATCTACACACACCCTACACATTAACTCTAGCTGTAAAGTGAACCTGTCCGCGGATGCTGAGCTGCTACGTACAAATGATCGGCCTTCCTGCAGTGTGGTCCTCCCCTGACGTACACTCTATTCCACTCCAGATCTGTTCAAACAATGTTTCCAGAAAACTGTCAACGCTGCCCTATCCTTGCGTTTGCATACATGTTTAGTTGCATCTTCTGGGATTTTGGGACAGGAACGATACGGGGAAATCCTGGGGCTATGCAGCTACATACATGCTACATGCACTGAGAAACAGGCACCACCTAGCGGATTATGTGCTGTGATAATTGAAATGCGTGGGTACTCTATTAGTACCCTAACCTTACCCCTCATCACTTATGCCTTGTCATCCACGATATCACCGTGTCGTACATAGTGGGAAACAGGTTCTCATCTTCTCTCATGAGCGCTGCGTGTCGTATAAGTTAATGCCACACTATCTAGAGTACTGGTATGTAACAATAGTACTACTGCCAACCCATGTATACTTATGCTTTATCTAAAGATAATATATCATGTATGAACTCAAGGTTGGTGCCTCGGGAAGCCTGCCACTCAAGTAACGGCTGAGAATTCCTATGCTTGTGAAAGGAAGGACATTGGAACCACCCGCGCCACCATACGGGGGTTAAATATTTTTCTCGGAGCTCATGCCTAGATTGGTCCATTTGTACTCCCAATACCACACATGTACCTACATGGGCCTTCCGGCCTATTCAATCTAAATTGGTTAAAAAGGCATGCTCTTCACCATATTATATCATATTCCATTATTTTAGTACTACATGAACAAGTAATAAATTGAGTATGTAGCCACCGATATACTTGTTCTCGGGGTAAATAGGCATTAGGTACAGCAACTAATGTGGTTTTCTTGTAAGCTAATGCATAAAAACTGGGGATCTCTGGGGACTATGAACTCGTGCTTCGCTCAGAAGCTTAGTTCAAACACGCGAGTTCCCGATACCTCAATTATAATGTTCGCTCCTCATTGCGATTGGAGGATCAAAAGCTTATATTACGCATGTGCAGTGACCTTGTGACCTACGATTCCGTTAATTACTAGAGACGTATTTTGATTCATTGCAATTTTTCAATGTATTACTTAGGCCTTTCACTTCATATGTGTATCAATCGATGATGGAATCTACTTGATACATGTAGTTTAAGTGGCACTAGCTGAGCCATCTTCACCATTTATCACTCGCTGTGTTACTAGTCCATAACGGGTGAGGTTGCAACTCACGAGGGCCAATCGGAAACGGACCTTGAGTGGAGCTTCTATTATCAAGTTTAGGAGAATATGTGGCTGGTAGTCAAAAGTTTAGAGTAGCGAATAAAAGTTTTCAAAAAAAAAATAGTAATTCGAAAAGTAAGAGAGTGGTAATGATATGAAAACATGAAAATGAACCCATCAGCCCCATTAGGAATACAACTTTCCTGGTGAAATGTAGAAAACGAGAAACACCTACGACTCCGTGCAGACCTTCAGGGAAGTTAAAAGCCATGGAAAAATAGAAATACCGACGAATAAGTGGAAGAAAAAAGATGCCCTCGATGCTGCGCGTACGATCTTGCCCACCCACTTTATTGAACCCTCAATATTTCATTATCAGCCACTTGCTGAAATTATTCGTCTTGAATAAAGGTTTCCAAAGCCAGAGCCACAGGTCTTACTGATACACCTCTCGCACCTCTTAAAAATGTTTCGTGGTATAACGAACATAAGAAACTGAAAAGAGGGGAGCTGAGGAAAAAATGATGAGGTAATTAAACCAATCCATCGTAGAGAGATAGTGCTGAGACAATTGTGGCGTCCTTTTGGCTTCCCTCACGAAATTCATCTAAGGTTAGGCTCCCGTTCTAGATAATGTGATTAGTGTGTTTCTTATGACTGGCGCTTGTTAAAGAACGCCAACCTCGTCTTTGTCCATCATCTTGAATATCTTGGCAACCCTCTTTTGAGGTGTATCCTCATCCTCCGGAAGTTTCACCATGGAGCCAACCTATATTCCCGCGAAGAGATATTTAGTTTTGCCAATGAATGAGGGCATATCAATCATGCATACCATTTTGTAAATGGCCTCAACAATTTGTAGCATTTCATCGTAACTGATTTCACCATCGCCATCGATGTCATAAAGCTGAAATGCCCAATTGAGCTTATCTTCCAGTGAACCGCGTGAAGTAACACTTAAAGCGACAATAAATTCTTTGAAATCTATTGTGCCGGAACGATCGGCGTCGAAGACATTGAAAACATAGTCTGCAAATGTCGTAGGGTCTCCAAATGGGAAAAACTGCTTGTAAATCTTCTGGAACTCCGATTTGTTTAGGGAGCCGGACGGACAGTCTTTGAGAAATCCTATAGTAGGAAAATTAATAGTTAGCAGAAACCCGGTCGAATTCGTGTCTTCCCGCACTCAAGAAGGCAGGGCAGAGTTGAAAAGAGATGTGGGACATGAGGGTGTGCGAGCACAACTTATAATGTGTTCGCTCCCACGTTATGTGATTGTTAAAACGTACCTTTGTACCACTGCTGAAGCTCCTTTCGTTCGAATAATGTCGCCTTTTGAAGCTCTGCAAGCTGCTCTTGCGTAAGTTTAGACTGACTAGATATGAACAAAAGTGTCAGTCATGACTTCAAGAGTTCCTATCGCGGAATTCATTGTGGAGTTACAGAGAGGTAGAAAATTCTAGCAACACACGTTTTACCCATGCCGAAATAAGGCGGTGTACGGTGCCAGCTACAGGCTTAGAAGAACGGCAGATAGAATGAGATAGGTAGTGACAGGTGAGTTTATAAAACTGAACTGAAAACCTTTACCGATGAACGTTGGAGGATTCGAGGAGAGGATGAAAATGTTCTTTCGTAATTTCTTCACAAGCAAAGGGGAGTCAGGTACTGCGGTACTGTTGTCGGATGCAGATAAGCGTAGGGAGACAGAGGCGATAGAGGGGTATTGGAAGAGGGAAGGTGCAAGTTTTAGATGTGGTAATGGCGGATGGAGGTGGTTTAAGGAAGAGAGTGGTGTGTGGGAGACTGGGGCAAAACAGGATGGAAATGTAGGTACAGGAGGGAGTTAGTGATGGGTGAGGGGGAGGGGTAATTGAATGGTGGTAACGGCAATTCCGCCGCCGTCACCGCGTTCATCACACTACCATGCCCCCCTACAAGTCACTGCTTCTCCCACTTACACCACATGTATTTCTGAGAGCGGCCATAGAGAAGGCTTGTGTAAATACGCCCACTGCGCACTTAGCCAGTCTATTGTACTCGATGGGCTACCTCACCTCCCTCTACTCATCTTGATCTTTTATGATCATCCACATCAATACAAGTACCTCTGGTAGTAGGGTATGAGGCATAGCTAAGGCCAGACTATCACATTAACGGACATCACTTACCTTGCTATCTGTAGAGTAGACGCTTTGTATGGGACGCTGAAATTAGCCAAGAAGTTTATTGGACCTTTCTGCCGTAACTGTTAATTGCTCAGCCCTGCGACATCTAGAATGACGACCGCAGATCTCCTGTATTTGAATGTAAGAGGACCTACACGTGATGTGGATATTGTATCCATACCTTGAAGAGTGTAATATGTGTATTGTACCGAAATAATACAATAATCTACCCAATACTTCTATGCGTACGGACTATGTAGTATCAGGGTACAGGTATTGGGTTCCCCTTATGCCATAGTCTATGACTGCATGCAGAGTTTTGTACCTAGAATCATGATTTAAAAAAAAAAAAAGGTATTGGGTTCCCCCAGGAACATGCGCCGAATTTCAAGTACTAACCGGCTATTGCTGACTAAATGCTAGTGTTCCCCAAACCCCCAAACAACAGCCTTGTCGTTATCAACGCTCAGCAAGATCAAAGAAAATCTCCCGAATACACCTGAATCACCGAATTCACAAGTTATGAACGCCATTGTTCAAAGGTCATTTGACAGTCTTGAAACATCCCTGGAGAGTTTGGTTGAATCCGTGTCATCGTACAACCCGTCTCCCCCGGCTGCAATAGCTGTTGTAAACGCCGATGATATTTTGACCGAGAGCCTTGAACAGCGTACGTCGCACATCGCACTGAACTGGACTACATGTAGTATCGGTTCCGTTGGCTAACATTCGCTGTTTAGTGGATGAACACCAGCAGAATCACCAAAGAATTTTATCTCTTCGGGCAACCTCAGAAACACTGAATAAACAGCTCACAGAGCTTCTTGAGACTCTATCAGAAGCACGGAAGGAGGTTCTCAATGTGCCCATGACCAAATTCCCACAATCCAATGGTATTTGGCATTTATTTCTTCTTGGCTCCTACAAATAAAATCTCTAACCCCATAGTAAGAGGTACCTTACAATGAACTCCTGACATATGCTCGCAAAATCTCGAAATATACACGTCCCCCGCAGTCATCGAGATACACGCAAACGGCTTCAGCAGACCATGTATCTGGACTCACCGATAACTCAAATAGTTCCATGAATAATAACAGCAACGGAGACACAGGACACGCAGACTCACAAGCCACTCGTGCTCTCCCTCTTGGTCTTTCGGAAGAAGATGTTACTGCTCTGGATCCATCCTCCCAGATGCCATTCACACCTTGGCCAAGTGAAGAAGTCATGAAGCGTGGGGCCCTTTCTCATATGGGGTATGAGGAAGAATTGCGCGCGAAGGGCCTGCCTATTCCGGATTTCTTTTCGAACCCAACCGTCAACGGACAGACCGCGAGCACGAACGTGGAACCTCAAAGAGATGCTCCAACTAGAGTGGAGACTGTGGCAGTACAATCTCAACATCACGAAAGACCGAAGGAAACGCAACCTCCTCCGGGGCTCTCCTTGAGCCTCGATTTATATGACCCAGATGAAGATTGAGAGCTACGCTATATTTGGTAAATATGTATATAAACACCCAAGCCAAAACCTCTTGCAGAGATGAGGTTACTTCTTGAGACCCAGTACTTCAACTTTTTTTTTAGCGGTGTTGCTACCGTTTCTACCATGCTCCATAATGCTTCCGTTTGCAGTCAACACTTTACAATCCCTTGCAGCCTTCCTCAGCTCCCTTTTCCTCTTTTGTTTTTTTGATAGGTGCTCTCGGAAGGCATGGTACCTCGTTGGTATCTAAAGTGAATTTTATCATAGATAGTTGAGCTCCGCTTGCTTAGAATGGCGGTAAAATAATTAAAGTCTTTCAGCTGTTCTGCTGACTTTGCGTTACTGCGGGCCATCCTATTCTTTTAAAATTTAGTTTGTTAATCAATGATAAAGTAGGTAGACATACATATAGGTACTTGCTGCCGATACGGGTATGGGATGGCACAAGGTGTAGATTCGGTATGAGACTACATGTACATCTAGCATTCCATAACTGTATTGTATCCTTGTAAAGAGCCGTGCCAAGCTATTGAATCAGCCATCCGTAGTTTACTAGCGCATATGTGGGTAAACACCGATGATGTCGCTGCAAAGAATGATTCTTGGCAAGGAGCTCGTTCTCAGCCTCATCTAATTACGAATTCGGAAAGCTGGGAACATTCAACACCAAAGCCAGGTTCAATACAGTATCGTACTACAAGCTCACATCACCATCCCGGGATATAGGTCTATGTAAGGAAGTGAGTTCTTCATTTTCTACGTATTCACTTACTGGCATTCATTTTCCTGCGTCCTAGCTGTGCTCGTGTTCTTCTTAGCACCTCGTGGCCTGGGTGCTAGCTTACCTACCCCCACCACAACTCCATCACCAACACTATTCCAGTGAGGCTCTGGTATAATAGCCACAACAATGTTTCTACCAAACCCCTTGATACCCGTGATCGGGGCAGTATCCCTATTCACATCACTCTCTGCAGCATTTTACCTCCCAGGAGTCGCTCCTACAGACTATACCGAAGGAAGCAAGGTTCCCCTAAACGTCAACCGTCTTACGCCAACTCTCTCACAGTCCGATCAGCAGCTCCGATCCGTCATTTCTTACGACTACTACCATACCGCTTTCAACTTCTGCAGACCCCCAAATGGTCCCAAGAAGGTTTCCGAGTCGCTTGGGTCCATCCTGTTTGGGGACCGTATTCTTGATTCGCCGTTCGACATTAGGATGGCCAAGAACGAAACTTGTAAACCGCTTTGCGAGGTTAAAAAATTTGATCCACGGAAAGCAAAATTTGTCAATAGGCGGATCTGGCAAAATTATAATATCAATTGGCTTATAGACGGATTGCCAGCAGCCACTTTGAATAGGGATGAGGTGGAGAATGTTGAGTTCTATTCTCAAGGTTTCCCGCTGGGTGATATCAAGAACCCCAACTCTGATAATCCTATCGCTGAGTTCAACAATCACTACGATATCTTCATCGACTACCACGAACTGGCATCACGCTCGACTAAGAAGTATCGTGTTGTGGGTGTTGTTGTCCAGCCTTCGTCCCGGAATTCTAAGCTTCGGGAAGGCGCTGGTGACTTTGGCGCCGACTGCTCTGATCTCTCACCTGTGGTTCTGTCGCAGGACCAGGAAACTGAGGTTTTATTCACTTATACTGTATACTGGAGGCATTCACCCACTGCTTGGGCCACAAGATGGGACAAATATCTTCATGTCTTTGACCCTCGTATTCATTGGTTTTCACTCGTCAATTCTGCCATTATCGTAATTTTTCTTACCGGAATGGTAGGAATGGTTCTTTTAAGAGCTTTGCGCAAGGACATCGCTCGTTACAATCAATTAGACTTGAATGAGGACGTACAAGATGATTCTGGGTGGAAATTGGTTCATGGAGATGTCTTCCGTCCCCCGAAGAATCCCATGCTCCTTTCGATATTCTTGGGATCTGGTGCACAGCTATTTTTCATGACTGGAGCGACTATTGTTTTTGCGCTTCTTGGATTTTTGTCGCCATCCAATCGTGGGTCTTTGGGGACAGTTATGATTCTTCTATATACGCTTTTCGGTTTTATCGGCGGCTATGTCTCCGCCCGGACTTACAAATCATTCGGCGGCGAAGCGTGGAAGCGAAACATCATACTCACCCCCGTGTTCATTCCCGGGATTGTGTTTGGCACATTTTTCCTCCTCAACTTTTTCTTGATCTTTGAAAATTCTTCTGGAGCCGTGCCCTTGACCACCATGTTGGTACTGGTCGGCATTTGGTTCATACTTAGTGTACCATTGAGTTTCGGCGGAAGTTGGGTTGGATTCAGAGCTCCTGTGGGTCCAAGATTCCAGTCCTCCGATATAGTTTATGAGCTGATGTATTCTTGCACCAGGCATTCCAACCTCCTGTCCGCACCAATCAGATTCCACGCCAGATCCCACAGCAATCCACATACTTAAAGCCGATTCCCAGCATGCTTTTAGTGGGAATTCTGCCATTTGGAGCCATTTTCGTTGAGCTATACTTCATCATGAATTCCATCTGGTTTCATAAAGTCTACTACATGTTTGGATTCCTATTCATTTGCTATGGCATCATGGTTTGTGTCCCTTCATTACAATATTCTTTCCTGACATATCCTAATAACAACGAATATAGATTATTACTTGCTCCACAGTCACAATCCTGCTCATCTACTTCTTACTGTGCTCGGAGAACTACCACTGGCAATGGAGATCATTCTTCACTGCCGGCGCAAGCGCGATCTACATTTTCTTAAATGCTATCCTGTACTGGATATCAAAGTTGAGCTTGGGGGGTTTCACTAGCAACGTGTTGTACCTAGGATACAGTGCGTTGATCGGCTTCCTGTTCTTCATACTCACAGGATCAATTGGCTTCTTCTCAAGCTGGTTTTTCGTGAGGAAGATTTACGGAAGTATCAAGATTGATTAAATGTTACTAACGAAGGGGTAGTTGAAAGAATAGAAATGTTTGTAAGGGAAGTTGGACTTTGTTGTGTATTCTTGTTTTATAATTGTCGTCAGTCACTCACTTGTACGCTTGCTGGGGCTCTTTGAGTAATCTCCTGCTTGAATGAAGGGGATACCTGTTGATTTTAACTTTGGCTCAATTTCGAGTGCTTTGTCTACTTCCCTGGATTTGCCCGTTATCGGGTTGAACGTTTTCTGTGTAGATTTTCTCGCTTTATGGGAAACCTTAGTATTATCATAGAGGTGTTGAAGTATGAATCGAAATGAATGAGATGTACACCCTGTTCTATGGGATAGATTTCGTTGCAACCACACTCTCCACCAACGCAAGAAATGTATAAATAGGTTATAACGTGAGCCCCCCATCATAGCTGCCAGATATGGAATATAATAGTCTATAGCGACATGTTCTTACAAAGGTAAGGCGCTGTAATATTATTAAGCTAACTGTGTATTGTCACCGCTGCTAATTGGGAGCTATTGTGGGATTCGGTACGAGATTGCGCAAGATGTCTATCAAAGCTACTTCGCCGTCAACGTTTATTTATTTTTATTTTTATTTTTATTTTTATTCTTTCCACCCCCATACCTATTTAGGAAATGTTCGTTAGGATCAAACCTCCTTAAATCTTGTGACTATCAAAAGTCAAGGGTAAATGCGGGGCTGCGTGTTGCAAGCCGAGTTCGAGCGAATACACGAAAGGCATTAGGCATATATTTTATTCTGTATTATGAGCAGTGGGAGTGACTAGAGCAACGGAATATCAAGTCTGATTGTTTCGGGATTTGGCTGTTCGTTTATATGGCATAATACATTGTATCTTAATTCAAAACCTACTTTCAAATTGTTATCTTCTTGATAAAAAAAAAACGCAGCTCTCGATCCGATAGGTTAATTAAGGTCGATCCATCTAAACCCTGGCTTTTTATAAGAAATCAAAAGTGTAACTATAGTTAAGGATTCGCCAATACCTGAATAGACTTACCTTTCCCAAGTTATCAATACGCGCTATCTAAAGAAAAAACGTATCATTCTTTAATGAAAATCAAGTAAACACATCTCCCGGTCATCATTAATCGTCTTTAGGGGGGAAACGTCCGATTTTTACAGAATTCGGTTGAATAACGAACCCAGCGTAGCTACAATTATAGCAATGGGTAATGTCCCCCTCGTAACAGTAATAAAAACCTAAAGACGGTTGATTAAATCCACTGCAGGTAAGTAAGTCTAAGTGCATGTGGAGTAGGTAGCGCAGGTACATTCATTAATTTCTGGATTAGTCAGCGGGCCAGATGATTGGACGGCTACAACGACGTCGGCCACAGCTCCCATAGATATTGACCTCTATCAATTATCCCGGGCTCATCACCAACACCGAGATTGTCCACAAGCGGTACATTCCAATCGCTACTGCGGTATAATCCAGTGAGTTTGCTCTCCTTGTTCTCTGTCTATTTTGATACCTTGTCTCAGGTTTTTCAAACACAGGACTAATTGCTGCCCATCTGGCTGCAGGTAACCTAACCCACCCACCCCACCTCGAACCTCCACCACCCCCCAAAGTTCACTCTTAAACGAATAATGGCACCATCGGAATCACGCCAGTTCAAGCGCAAGGACGCAATTGGTCTGGCCACCAAGGGGACGCTGATTTTCGGCGGAGCGGGCCTATTCATGAGCGCTATCCAGAACACACTCACGAAGCAGAACGTCGGCGCCTGGGGTGTCATCACAAAGACCGGGGGCACCGTGGGGATTGCCGGTAGGTCTTCTTAAGTCAACTTGGTGCTATCCTATCACCAACCTCCTCTCTCGTTCGAGCTTCATGAGGATAATATTAATATCTTGTAGCGGCGATGGGTGGTTCTTACATGTTTTTCCGTAACGCCGCGGCGAACCTGCGAGAGACCGACGATTACTTGAACTCCGCACTCGGAGGTCTTGTTGCGGGTAGTATTATGGGAACCAAGTGTATGTAACCTCCCTTCCATTTTCTTTGGTTACGCGATGATCTAGTTACTCATGCCAATGTCAGTCCGCACCATGCCTGCTGTCATTGGATACGGCGCGGGGCTTGCGCTTATCCTCGGTGCATTTGACTACACCGGTGGCTCCCTAACCGGACTGTTCAAAGATATGAATATGGATGAGGTAACCAGAAAAGAGATGCTCAGGGCTGGCCGTAGACGGCCAATAGATGAGACTGTCGAAGAGCTTGGCGAGGGGCGAGGTAACTAGATTCCCTGCTCATTGCTGAACTTGAGGGACCCCAGAGTGTAACGAAACATCAACTAGGAATCTACCCTGCTGGCTATGAAGACCGGAGGCGCGCTCGATTGACTGAGAAGTACGGAATTGACTTCACCAACGTCGAGAAGAGGTAAAGAAGGGGCGCCTTGAATGTTAATTACTCACATATCCGAGATTTGGCGAAAGCTCCTTCCCTTCTTCACTCCCTTGGTTCATTGGTGTGGAAAGGCCGATAGGCTGCTGATGCTGACTGCAATATTTCTCCTGAAGCAAACATCGTGTTATGATGTTGTAATACAGGGATGCTCTCTTTGTATAAAAATGATATTTTCCTTGTTGCCAATGATCAACCATGTGACCAGAATGATTTAGTGGGAAAGAGGAGAGTCCAGATTTAGACAGCGTGAAAGAGGCGGAGTCATGGATTTGCACTCGACAGAGTGATCGGGACATGCTGCAAACCGCCAATGCATACATGTAGTCAAGGATGTATAAGCAGGGGTGGTCTTATACTAAACCTAAAATCCACTTCTCTGATATTTAAGGTTGCAGGTAAGACACAGAATTTCTTTGAAACAAAGCCACATCAGTGACAAGCTAGCCGAGCCCACGGAGATATGGCGCCTCGTGCCAAATGTGCCTGGCCCATCAAAAATTAACCTAATGCAAATTTCAAAACAGACAGTCCATAGGCAATTTGCAAGCCCTAGGTTCGTTTATTTTTCATTCCCGAGGGATTGGTAGGATTTTGGGTACATGTACAAGGCTCTGGGATTAAGTGAGTGAACGGATCCTCACCAGTCAACACCTCATTTAGTTCATTCACTTAATGCCAGAGCCTTGTAATTACATGTAGTACCAATGCTGCTGCCAAAACCATCTAAAACCATAATCTACTCAGTATAGACCTAATACATCGGTTTTTTGTCTGGAAGATGGCCAGAAAAGTATGTGTACATCGACCATCGCTGTAGAACACTTTGCACCGGTATGTGACCAAATAAAATCACCCAGATATGTATCTATCATATTCCAGAAAATTCGTGCTATATCTGAATTGATTTACACCAATGGCTGGACACACCTTCCACAGGCCACAAAATACGGAATAAAGAACTAGATGCAGGAGCAATAGAAGAAAGGAAAAGAAGAGGACGAAATTGAGGTAAGAGAAAAAACCATTCGCACTGATATTTCAGGGGGAAAAGCAGTCATAGCCCTTTTCAAGGGTCTTTCCAAAAAGCAAACTTTTTCGTTTTAATATCAAACGCCTGTCCTCCATTCCGCGGCCACCGACCGACGCCATTTTACAAAAACAAACCCGTCCAAAAAGAAAAGTTGATGTAGGAAAGAATTACAATATCTTCATTTGCCTCGGTTTCTTTGGTAAAAGGGTGAAGAGAGGCGCCGTCACCACTTCTGTGTCACTATGTCTTGGAACCGCTGCTCCATTCGAGATAGCAATTCCCGTAGCATCCACGGAACTTTCTAGATCAAAGTATCCGTCGCTGTCGTCCTGATAGTGATACTCCTCTTGGTTGTTTTCTATATCCACGTCGTCTTCAAAATCACTCCCGTCTTCGACCTCTTCGCTATCGTTCATGAATCGTGTCGTCATAGATAGCGAAGGGCTGGGAGTGTGAAAACGGTCCGTTCCCTCGGTAAGGGCCTTCCACCATTCAATCGGCGCCCCATGGAGGTTCCCATTTGGAACAATCCTGCTGATCAATGGACCATTGGTTGTACACCAGGAGTAATCTATCTCACCCTGTGTCCCAGTGAACATGTCGAACCATGCATGGAAACGAACAACCAAATCGGGCTTTGCCTGACAGAGTCTCCAGAGGCTTTCGCATGTCATATTGACCTCGTTTTCGGCGAACCATGGTTGATGCATTGCTCCATCGCTACAACACAGACCTCGATTCCCGTTATGGAAGCTTACATTGAGTGATAGGAGCTTCGGCCACTCCTGGTGCTCAAAGAGGTGCCGACAAACATGCATGTTGCGTATAGTGAGTGTCTCCAGTCGCTCGCTATGTAGGGAGAGCCGGGGGCATATGTGATCTGTTGAAGGATCATGGGTATAGTGATTATAGAATCTCACATCAGGAGCAAAAAATGGTTCTCCAGTAGCTACTTCCATATGTAGATGTTTTATGGTATCATGATTCGGGAGAGTTGAGTGTAGAACATTGGCGGCGGTTGCTGTTGTCGTCCGAGGACTGCATCAACATAGGTGCACTTACAACGAAACTAACAAAAGGAAAGATGGTTCAGTTACCTTTCGAGGGTGCAAGAACGGTTAATCTTTCTACCCCTAGAGCCTCTAAGTCGTACCGCATCCAGTCCTGGATATACCATTCAGGAAATCTCGGCGGTCCTACATTTGCGTCAAGCATACCAGGTAGATTTGCAATTATCAGCACCAGATTCCGGGCCCTCTTCCCTGAACCATTCCCGGCCCTTTTTCGCTTTACGTGACACGGGATATTGGTCTGACTGTCGTAAAGGTTGAAATCCCCAGTATGGAAAGACGGGTTTTGTCGGCCTTTTCTTTTCTGGTCCTGTTCAGGGTAAGAATACCCACTAAGCGCGTTCAACTGGGCCATACTAGTGACCACCGTCGGATCAGCGAGCTTTGGCTCGAATAACGCGCGGATAAACCTGTTAACGCGTAGAAACGTTTGTAAAGTCCTATGCCTATAAAGCAGGGTGTAGAAATTGTGGTTGATAAATCGTGGATCGCTATCATCGATCAGATCAGGTGTCAGATTCGCGTAGCCTCCATCATGGAGAGCAAGTTCGAAAATCTGCAACTGAACGGAAGGAGGTAAGGAATTAAAGTTCGTCTGGGGTTCGTGGGGAACTGATGGATGCCTGGACGAAGATTGGAAAATATGGTGGGAGGAGGATGTGCAGGAAGAAGGCGTGGCGATGGCAGTAGTGGAAGAGGAGGAGGAGGAGGAGGAGGAGGAGGAGGAGGAGGAGAGGGTAGTATCCGAGTGAGTGGTAAGAGAGCACAATTCATCATGTGTTAAGACAGGCGATACCGTCATGGACTCGGGTGTACTAGGGATACTAGCTAAGTTCCCTGTCACTGTGGTGGAAACAAAAGATTCCGGACTACCAACAAGGCTACCAGTGTTGGACATCTTGGGAGACGCGACTGGCGTTGGAGGAAATGCCGTTGCCATGATGGGGGTGGACAAGATAATAGTAGGACCGTACGCTGGCAGCGGGAAAAATATAATTAAAACGTGAGAGGATAGCTGGCTGTATGTAGCGCTCAGACACGAATGAACGGGGGTGGGTGGGAACGAGGAATGAGGTTGGTGGGGGAGGTGGGGGAAGATGATGCGGGTGCAGTACTCGCTAAATGAATTATGTACCGACGGCAGATTTGATGCTTTGGAGTGTAGGATAGGAAATGAGGTGGGTGATGGATTGATTGGATGATGGTTGATGTTGAGGTCAAAGTCAAGCTGTTGGAGGTGGTGTGGGAGATATGTCGAATGACTCCTTTAAGATTCGATTAGGGAGATGATAGATGTAAATACTCAAGGACGAATGAAGCTGGATTGGTTACTTGTTTTGGTAGACGGGTGGATTTTGTAGAGCCCAATCAGTGTAAGAAAGGGCTATCTACAAAGAGCAGCAATAGTAGCAATACCCAATTGAATCTATTTATATGCGAGGAGGATACCCGTGATGTGATTTCAAGCCTGCTCGAGCTATGCAAGGACAGTAGAGTAGGCTACTCGATGGCGGGAATTGATACGGATAGTAGTTAATGATGGCTGGAATTCCTTCGACCGCGATAGATATCCTCTGGTTGGCCGACTTGATGGGTTGATAACGCAGCATGCGTTAACTAGATAATAAAAGCTGTTGATAAAATAGAGTAGGTATGAAGAACGTTTCAACCAAAAGGGAGACTACGAGTAGGTAGTTGGAACCGGGGATACACATGTAGGAGGTACAGCTACTCTAGATAGACATGGCACTTGGCACTTGCGGCTCACAGTGCGTCAATCACCATTATGGTAGGGTTACCAAGGATACGATAGATACGTGACTAGCTTGAGCCAATTAGAGACCTTTTCGTCAGCCCTCCGCTACACAAAGAAAAGGAAAGAAAGAAGCTTTTGTTCGCTTGAGTCACGGCGCCTTCCATTCACCATACTCCCTTGCTTATTACCCGGTTCTACCGAATCAACCACGTAAAATGCCATTCCTACTCTATCAGGAGCCAGTTTAATTAGATACATGTAGATACCCTAGATGTGGGTACATAATACGCACATACATGTACCTACTCCACCCAAAGCCAACAGAAGGTTTTAGCAACGAAAGAAACTCGAGCATTTGGACAGAAACGCGACTCCTGCATCTCCTATTGGTTGCAACATGCTCGAGTTTCTGCTAAAATCCTCTAATAGTAGATGATCGAGTTGCATGTATGCATTTGCATTTGACAGGATTTATGATAGTGCAGACATGTATTATTTTACCCATAGCCATTAATCCAGGTACGGGACACACCCAACCCCGAAAAAAACGAAACGAAACATACTGGGTTTACATACATATAGACTCTAGAAGAACTAAAGGAGACTTTCTACTTACATGTAGTGATTCATACCGCGTTTTAATGTTCAGTATAAACTCTCCTACAACTCCAATAAAATACTGCTTCATTTCAGAGCGAAATATTCTAGAGCCATATGCGGCAGAGGTATCGTCCGCACTGTACACGAATCCTACATGAATGGTCCATCAAATCTTGACCGGACTTTCAACAAAAGGACCGGGGAAATAGTAATAAGAAAAACAAACAATGAATCTACCTACTCCTTGGGACATGACCGCATTCAAACCCTAGCCCCTCCGACCCCAATCCCACACCACCAATAAAAGTAATAGAAAAATCAAGTGGAAGGAAAACATCTTGCATCATCGTCACCGTCGTCACCGAAACCCCTCAACGCTATCAAAAACAAGATTCCTCATAGAACTTTCATTTCCATCTATCTGTCTCTCAACAATCTCGCATTTCAATCATTTCCTGTCAAAAAACCATGATGATCTTTTGGGCTGTTGGGTTTCTTGCTGGGCTGCCGAGCCTTGAACTCCTGAGAGTACAGGAACCGAGCCGTTCGCATCACCTCCTCCACCGCCTCGTAATGGCTTGGCGATACGGGAGCCTTGCAGACTGAAACTTGAAGCGTTGCCAAGGCCTCGTGTGCCGACCTTTGCAGCCTCTAATCGTTCTTTGACAGCTGTGAGTTGAGCCTCGAACCTAGCATTTCCATCAATTAGATTTATAATGACAAAATGTTATCGAGATTGGATAAACATACCGATGATTGGCTGCTGTCAACTTCTCTTGGGAGTCTTGGAGAAGGCTTTCCAAGCTTTGTATCCGCTCATTACGTGCAATAAGCTTTCGCTCGGCGATAGCAACCTCCTTCTTGAGGCTGCTATTTTGTTCAACAAGCTGCCTTTGAACATGTGTGAGTTGCTCCAAGTTTCGCTCTAAGAACGCCATCTTCTTTTGCTGTGCACGATTATTTGATGACCGGAGTACGTTGTTGTATTGCTCCCGCGTCTCGTCAAGACTGATTTCCAGCTCAACAACCTACACGAGGGCTTAGCGTGATTCAAGACTTCTAAAGCTTCAAGAAGTGACAAACCCTTTCACATCGGTTTTGAAGGTCACGCATAAGTGACTTCTTCATAGCGTCGAATTCTGCAATCTGCTGTGCCACAGTTTTTCCGTTTGGAAGAGCAGCCGAAGAACCATTGGGCGCTCCACCTGACTTTGCTCTCCTTTGTAATTCCTCCACTGATGCCTTCAATTTTTCATTGTCCTCACTCTTCTTTGCTACCTCTCTCTTCAAATCCTCTAGCATTTGCACCTCAACGCTCTGTTTGCTGAGGTACGCCTGCTCTAATTTACCTTTGACGTCTGCGATGTCGTCGTCTGTCAAATTCTTCTCAAGAAGCTCTTCGTATTCCCTCTCGACTGCCAAGAGCCTCTTCTCTAACTCTTCTCTTCGTCTATGCGCTATTTCTTGCTCATCTGAACGCTCGTTGAGTGAAAGCTCCGCCTGTCGTATAATCCCTTGAGTCTCAAGGAGCTTGGCACGTAATTCTTTCAAATCGTCTCTCGTTATCTCTTCGCCAGAAGCTGAGTTTTCTTCCAGAAGATCTAATCTCTCGATGACTTCCCGAATCATGCGCTCTTTGTCAGAAAAGACATCTCCACCAAGATCAAATCCTGCCATCATCTTAGCCATTCTCTCCGCTTTCTTTTTCTCCTTCTCATCCAACATCGCTGACGTCTCCTTTGTCGACATCTTGACGTCCAGAAGGTGTTGCTTGACCTCATCCAATTCGGCAGTTAATTCGGCGTTAGCCTCCTTCAATCCATCCATGGTGATCTGTGCTTCTTTACTCTCGAAAGAAACCTTCTCCAACTGCATCTTTAGCTCATTGACCTCCCCGCCCAATTTTTCGTTGTCTTTACCGGTCTTGGAATCATGCTCCTTCAGGAAGGCCAATTCCTCTTTAAGATCACTTAGTGTCTTATCAGTAGCCGCCAACTGCGATTCTTTGTCTGCTAACTGATCTTGCAACTCGTTTTCCCTTCTTAAAAACTCATCTCTCTCATCCTTATCGAGGGTTATCGGGGTAGAAGATCTAACGTCAATACGACTGTCAGGCCGTGATGGAGCTTGAGATTCCGAAGTAGCAAGCTTCGAAGGTGTATCCGGTCGTCCTGGGCGACCTTTGGCCTCTCCCCTTTTCGGCAATTCTACTTTTAGTGGAGGAACCCATCTCTCCTTTGGAACCGCCTCTCCTTGTCGCCAGGTTATCACCTCACCCTCCAATGATTCGATATACTCTGTATAAGTGAGGTTTTGATGTTGAGCCTTTTTGAGTAAAGCTTTAAGCTCTGCCGGAGATAACTCCGCATTGATTTTCGCCTTATTCTTAATGGATTTGGCCCGCATACCGAAACGAAGGGTAGATAGGGTTTCGTCGTCATTGTAAGAAGAGGGCGAGCAGTTGATAATAAGAGTAGTACGTGAATTACCACCCAAAGACTCTTGCAAAATACGGGTAAGCTTCGAGTCACGATAGGGTACGTGAGTCGATCTTCCGTCCGTCAAGGCATTAATAACCATTCCTAAAGCCGATAGAGACTTGTTGATTTTCTTTGCCTCCTCAAGTGTCTGTCCGGAAGCACCTGTTTTCCCAACCTTTTCAGAACCCGCAAGATCGACCAAATACAGGTAACCTGCTTTCTGCGACCCGGTCTCAACATTCTTCTGATTGATTTGGATGACGAATATAGAATGTGATCGAGAAGATTCTTGATTCATGTTCGTTGCCGCTACTGCTCTTGCTGAACCACCCCGTCTCATAACCTCGTAGACCTCTTGAACACTAGAAACGTAAATCTCGAGTAATCCCTTTACGTATACTCCGCGATTCTTCTCCTCGTGCACAGGTAGATTATCGTTAACCGGGTTCAGCAAATCACGAATTCTCTCCATATAGATTTCCATGTACGACACTCGAACAGTATACTCAATGTTTCCCGGCGAGGTTAAAATGGACGCAAAAATCTGCTCCACAATTCGTGGAATGATACCCTTCGAAACGTCATTGTCAATATCTCCGCCCATCATGGTATACGATTTTCCCGCACCCGTCTGCCCGTAGGCAAAGACCGTTCCGTTGTAACCGTTTAAAATATCATCGACGGTATGCTTGATGGAGAATTCGAAGACATCACTTTGGCGAGAGTTCATATCAAACACTCGATCAAAAGTGAAAGCTCCGGCAGCTTCTTTGCTCTGGAAGAAACAGTTAGTAATGACTTGACCAGTCGCTCGAAAGGGACTAAGCTCAACACAAAGAGAACCAGGATTGGGTGACAACTCACAACTAACTCGCATGTGTCTTCTGAAGGAAAAGTAACAATCGGCTCTCCACCTTCTCGGATTTCTACTTTGTTTTGCGGTCGAAACCGAGCCACCACTGGGGGAAGATAAAAAAACCCATGTCAGCGAACTTGTATTGGGATGCTGCATACGGGAGCGGCTGCGACATACCCTTGATGGTGTTGTAGCTCCCCGTGCTCCTGTATCTGGTGGTTAGCAACTGTAGGGCCCATGTAATGAAGTAGAAAGTCGAAATGAATTACAGAGGGGAGCGGAAATGCATACGCCATGGTTACTATTGAAGGAGAGTTAGATGTTCCAACGGAAAGTTACCCAAGGTCGCGGTAGGTCAGAGAGATGCGATGAGATGGGCCCAGTAGTATATTACTGGAGGTCGATAGGTCAGTAGAAGATGAAGTGACGACCGTCCCGAGTTGAAGAAATGTGGCGGAGTGGGAGGCGTGGCAGATAACAGAACACGATGTTGAGCGAGGAGGGGGGGGGTTGCGAAATTGGAGGGGACAGAGAAGGGGCCGGGGGAAGAAGACGAAGAGGGGATAGTGAGGAGGTTTCTTGCGGTGAACTCCCAAAAGGGAAAGAGACGAAATCACGAGCAAGAGGATATCCTCTAAGGTTCTTTCTCTGCTGGTGATGCGAATGTTGTTCTAAAGCTGGACGCACGAGTGGTTGTCGAGTTTCTTTAATAATAATAAAAGGTACAGTTGTTATCACCAATCTGTTGCCCTCGTCTCCTTCCTGCCCTGGTAAATTGTTGCTATGCGGTGGAGATGCCTACAGGCCAGGCTCTTCTTGGCCGCCAGCTTGCTTTGTTGGGTCAACAGCCACCATATCAGGGAATTTCACCTCGCTTGACAACTGCCGAATCTACCCCACTGGTGCTATTTTGTTAAAGTCTTAATGATAACCCTAGAACTGCACAGTCTTTACTGACCCTGAAGACTCCTCGTACAATAACCTCTATTGCCGTCGAAGGTAGGCCTACCAGTCCAACCGAGGGAAGCGAATGATCGGTCATGAAAGGACTAAACTATGCAATAGCATCAGGGAGTATGTGCTATAGCTCCACTTTTCCATTTACTTCCTACTCATCCTTTTGCGCACCATCACATTTTTTTTTTTTTTTTCGAAGATTAAAAGAATGGTATGTAGTAAGATTGAAAGGAAGAAACAAAGAAACAAAGAAAGAGAGACATTTTTCTCTAGCAGAAAAACAGGTATCAATACGATACATGTTAAGGCACAAAAAGTAATGATTCCTTGGGAGCAACACCTTGCGTAGTAGTCACCTCAACCCAATCAGACGATATAGCCTAGCCTGGCCAGTTCCTTGATATGTCCCGATAGCTATGCCTATTTCCCACCAGAAACCCCGTGCATCAAACAGCTTTCCTAAGATCAACCTTCCCAGCTCTTCTCTACAGTCTCACGGACACGCTTTACATATTCCCGCTTGTTGTCCTTGTATAGATTTGAGGCTTCGACGTTGGCAGGGCTGGATGTATTTGGGTCGTTCAGAAGACTGCAGAGGAGGGTCAATAAGATGAGCTATAGAAAACTTGGGAGAAGCTCCAAACCTTTGTATACTAGTCAATATCGCAGCGACATCGTAGGTAGGGCTCCACCTGTTCTGGAGAATATCCAAACAGAGCTCGCCGGTGGCGTAGACATTGGGATGGAACATCTCGCTGATAAATTTCACCCCGGGAGGTTTATTCGGATATTGTTCCTCGAAATGCATCACAAGCCTGAAGGTACCATCCTCAAAGGGTGTGTCCACTGGCCCAATGATCACAGCATTCCTATACGAGTATAGTGTGAGCGAAGCAATCCAGCAGAGCATAGCAAAGATAAGGACGCTAACCATGTCATAACGTTATCGCTAATCGGAGAAGCACTGACGCCTGCTGGAGGATCAGTTTGCATCCGCTAAAAAGTCAAGGAGAGAATCCGTTAGCTTGGAACATGACATTTAATTTTCTCAAACATATTGAGCTCTGACTGCAGAACGGTCTGCGCACCTTAAAGTCTCGCATGAGACGACGACGTGCGGAGGTGGACATCGTCTCGTATGATTAGACAAGTTCAAGAACTTGTTCTTTGTTTCCAGAGGTGTTTTTGAAAAGAATCAGTTTCCAGTAACTTGTCGATAGCTAGAGAGCGGTGAGGGTTGAGGGTTGAGGGTGTAGATGGAGGGGAAAGTCAGAAAGCTGACTAGTTGTGCACGGAGCTGCCTCGTAGCCTTTGTAATCAATGCCAAGATAACTGACCAAGGTGAACTGCATCACGTAGCGGTACCTTTAGTACCTAGACTACGCAGTCATGTGTATTTGGAGTGTTCCACAAAAATTCCAGCGATAGAATACTCGGGGCCGGGAAGGATTATTTCTCTCAGTCCGGGAAATGTTTTATATTTGAAATTTATATCAAAATCATTCGAGAAAAAACGGCTAACTAAAGTAGCTGACATATGTACATGTATGTATGTATCTAACTGAGGAAAGGAAATCATGTGAAAATCGGTCCCTGTAACGGATCAAACCCTGCTTTAATTCAAACCCACAAGTTCCAAGCCAAAGTTATTACTGAGAGATTTCTCTCATGGAGACTTTTGGTAAGCTTCAGAAACCCCCAGTATTTGTCGTAGCCAAGTAGACGCCTTCACGGGGGCGCACTGGGGTGTGGTGCTTTCCTGAATTACGAGAGGCAATCGACGAAATCAAGAAAATTAAGATAGTAGAATTCTTTACTTGATACAGAGAAATGTATCTATATGTTTTATTTGGTGACATTCTGTTCTCATCTTTTGACGTTATTAGTTGTTGCACCACACCGTCTACAACATCTAGCCGCACTAGGTAGTGGCAGGTGTCAGATAGCTGCAGAAACATCACACAGTTCCTTTGCTTTTTATGCCCACGACTAGAGTCCGATAGCCTCGGGAGTCGGTCATCAGGCACAAGGATTTAGAAACGCCGGTTAGTCGCGGGGGTGCAGTCCCTGTGAAATGGCACGTGTAAGCTTGTAATATGGTGGTCCTCATAAACTTCACGATCTTGAGAACCACCCCCACATTCCCCACAACCACCTATTGAAGCCTATCGATACCTACGTAACGTATATACCTTCGAGCTACTATTTAGCATCAAGTAGTTGATAGTCTTCCTTTCAGTTCAACATCAAATCAGCAGCGTTAGGCCTGACCAATTACTCTGCGAACCATGCTTTCCTCAAAGTGCTCCACAATTGCCAAATCCAGCTCCTCTCGATCAATGATATCCTCAGCCCCGTCATTAAAATCTTCCACCGGTAGCCAGAGACTCTCGCTTCTAAACCGGCAGTTCAGCACCTCCCCACAACGTTCTGTGCGAGATGCATACATCCTCTCAGCTGCCAGAACGCCCACCGCAAAGGTATGTTGTGGAGTAGCTAGATACCTCTCCATTACAATCTTTTCCAGTTTCTGACCACTTCCGCCCAGTTCAACGGAGGCTTCAAAGACGTACCCGCCCCCAAACTCGGAGCCCATGCTGTGCGGGAGGCAATCGCTCGATCCGGTGTACCGGCCAGTGAAATAAGCAATGTGTATTTCGGAAACGTTCTACAAGCCTCAGTCGGACAGTCCCCAGCGCGACAGGTTGTCCTCTACGCAGGGCTCCCGGAAACTACTGAGGCAATCACGATCAATAAAGTGTGTGCGTCCGGACTAAAGGCAGTGTCCCTTGCTGCGCAGGACATACAGCTGGGGTTGTCGGAAGTTCAGGTTGCGGGTGGGATGGAGAACATGAGTAGAGTGCCGTTCTACTACCCCAGGGCAACACCTCCGTTTGGACATGTACAGGTTGAGGATGGGCTGATTAAGGATGGGCTTTGGGATGTTTACGATCAGATCCAGTAAGTTCCCAGTGGCAATGCTACGGCGAGTATCCACTCTCTTGAGTCCCAATGCTAACCGAATGCACACAGCATGGGAAACTGCGCGGAGAACACTGCCAAGAACCTTTCCATAACTCGCGAAGACCAGGACGCCTACACCGTCGAGTCATACAAACGGGCCAAAGCGGCTTGGGACTCTAAGGCTTTCGACGAGGAAGTCGTACCTGTAACCGTTAGCTCACGAAAGGGCGACGTGGTGATCTCCAAGGACGAGGAGTACGAGGCGATCAAGATGGAGAAAATCCCGACCCTGAAGCCGGCATTCCAGAAAGTCGGGGGAACAGTGACCGCCGCCAACTCAAGCACCTTTAGCGATGGGGCAAGTGCGCTGGTAATCGGGAGCAAGGCAGTTGCCGAGAAGTACGGAGGAAACAGCAGGGTTCTTGCTAGGATTGTTAGCTATGCGGATGCTGCGACAAAGCCTATTGACTTCCCACTTGCGCCCACTTTTGCGATTCCTAAAGCGCTTGAGAGGGCGGGGTTGGAGGTTAAGGATATTGCTAAGTGGGAGATTAATGAAGCTTTCGCTGCAGTTAGCAAGGCGAACGAAAAGGTAAGTTCTACAAAATACTACTGCTAGCCAAAATCTGCCTCCTAGTACATGCAATAGGCAGTGGGTACGTTGGATGTGAGCTCTGCCTATTAAACAGTACCTAGAAGATATGCTGGACCTTGCAGTAAGCTAAAGAGCTCTGTGTTGTGCAATTTCTAACAACCATCAGATCCTCGGACTGGACCCCTCCAAAGTAAACGTCAAGGGCGGCGCCATCGCCTTGGGACACGCACTAGGATCCTCTGGATCCCGAATCCTGACAACACTGCTCTACCTCCTCAAGCCAGGAGAGTACGGAGTAGCGGCCATCTGCAACGGCGGTGGTGGAGCCACAGCTATGGTTGTGCAGCGGATTGAGAAGGTCTAAGGGGACTGGCTGTTGGTGGACTTTTTAATACCTGGATTGTTTGTATCTATTGCTTGCCATGATTTGTGGGGGTAATATAATACCACAAGCTGTAACGCTCAAGTCGGTCGGAGTGATGTTGGGTGATATAGTTCCAGTGAGCGGTTTGATCGTAAAATACATGTAGGGAATGAAGGCCCAGGTTCGTGCTTAGGTTCTTAGATTAGCCAGCGCCTGTAGACAAACTGGTCTATGCAAAGCTAGCGCAAAATACCCAAACCCAAACTCTCATCATGGCTGCAGATAAAGGCTTATGGCTCAAATAAATAATTATATGTAAGAAAAGAAAAAAGTGAAACAAAACCTTACACTCTGGTGGAGAGTCAAAAAAAGAAACAAGCGCCAATCCACACCTGCCCCCTGTCTGCACAAAACCGAGTGACAATCTGTGATGCGGGCATGGAAGCCTCCCCAGCTCTAGCCCGAGTTACCACTTTGTTATGGTGCATGTCGAGTAGCGTATGCGAGGCTATTCACGAAAGCTCTAATGGCTAGATTGTCAGGCCACGGAAAGGTTGTTCTGTTCGGTGTGGTGACAAGGACAGGCCTAGGATGAACTACGGTGCGGTACTAGGACCGGGCCGCCTACTTAACCTCCTAGACTCCTAGACTATCAATAAGCCGTCCTTGCGCGTGGTCACCTCCAGTTCATTCTTTGCAGTGATCTTAGAAAACAGAAGGCCATATACCGCGTCATATTCCTGGCAACGGAGGTTTTCTGAGTCGAGTGATGAACGGTGATGCATCTGTTACTACATATTGCGCAGTTGGGATTTTCCAGTACTGTAGTAGACTCGTGTATCCTGCCGCAGAACCGCAAACCGGACGGGTAGATGCGCAAGACCCGGGTTGGCAGTCCTCCTCCGGGCGTGCTCTTCGACACTTCCCGCAAACCAGGGTTAGGGGACATTGTTACAGCTCACGTGACTCGCTAGACCTTCGATAGATATCCTTGGCAGGGACTCGACCAGCCGCGGGCCTCACTCGCTCACTCACACAGCGGCACCGAATCTCACCCGCGACATCACAACATACTATAGCAATTACCCCCCCCCCCCACCCCGACCTGCGCCCTATATCACTCCCCCACCCTCCCTTCCCTCCCACGCCCGCACCACAGCTCCAGAGAGCTTCAATGTCGTCCTTCACGCGCCCCAACAACCTCGCGCTCCTCACGCACTTCCTCCAGACCGTCTCGGACGCGCGCACCTCCCGCAACGCCCCCCTCCTCGCCAGCCTCCTCAGCGCCGACCCATTCTACATCCTCCAGAACGACCTCATGCTCTCTCTCCGCTCCGAACTCAGCAGCAACCCCACCGCCCTGCAATCCCGCACCGACAAGATCCTCGGCGACGAGTGGATGGGCTTCACCGAGCTGGTCGCGGCCTACCTCAAGTACGTGCTCGCGCTGGACCCCGCGGTGCTGTACGACACGGGCACGTCGCGCACCTGGCACGGCTGCTTGAAGACGTACATGGGCGCCATCAACCCGGCGTTCAACTCGCCGCAGGGCGTGGTGCTGGTGCCGCTGGTGAAGGGGACGGCGGCGCTGCTGACGAGCGCGGCACTGAGGATTGATGCGCAGATTGGCGATCCGAGGTTTGGCTGCTCGCATGCGGCGATGAATGTGTTGCTGAGGACGTTTAATTCGACGCTGGGGGAGAGGACGCTGGCGTCGGGGGCGCCGACGATGCAGACGTTGGGGAAGAAGGCGGCGACGCTGAGGATTGCGAATTTGTTGTTTAAGCTGTATTTCAAGGTGCGTTCGTCTTCTCTTCCTATATCTCTACTAAATAGCCATATTTACATCATATATACCGTACATACTAACCACCTCCCCCCACCCCCACAGCTAAACCAAATCCGCCTCTGCGCAACAATCCACACAAACATCAACGCCGCCTCAATCCCCTCCTACCTACACCTCTACCCCAAGTCCGACCGCTGCGCCTACACATACTACCTCGGCCGCCACCACTTCTTCAACGCCCACTTCACCACGGCCCTCAGCACCCTCACCACCTCCTACAACCTCACCCGCCCCACGGACACCACCCAGCGCCGCCTGCTCCTCCTCTACATGGTCACCTCCGCCCTCATCCTGGGCAAATTCCCGTCGGCAACCCTCCTCGCCCGCCCAGAGGCCCGCGGCCTCGCACACATGTTCTACCCCGTCTGCCGCGCCATCCGCCTCGGCGACTTCCGCGGCTTCCGCCACGCCCTCGGCGACGAGGGGCCCGACACGTGGCGCCGCCAGTGGTGGGTCCGTAGGGAGCTGTACCTTGCGCTGCGGAACAGGTGCCAGATACTGCTGTGGCGCGGGTTGATTAGGCGCACGTGGCTGATTACGAGGCCGCCCGTGCTGTCGGCGGCGCAGGTGGCGGAGGGGGTGAAGGCGGCGCCGCCGACGGTGGGGATGTGGCAGATTTTGGTGCTGGTGAGGTTTTTGCATCGTGTCCCTGGGGAGGCGCAGGGGCAGGGGCAGGGGGGAATCCGTTGTTTCTGGGTGCGGAGGAGGAGGATACGGATGATGATGATGCAGACGGAGGGGAGGAGGAGGAGGATGGAGAGGGGAGGGATGAAGGGGGGTACTTTGGGCTCAAGGTCAACATGGTTGATGTCGAGAGCGCGATCGTGAGTCTGTGCGACCAGGGGTTCATCAAGGGCTACATAGCCCGGCAGGCGACGGGCCCGCTGATTGTGCTCGGGCGGTCGGGGGCGTTTCCGGCCGTGGCGGAGATTTATAATAGTAGTAGGTGGAAGGCGGAGGGTGATGAGAGCGGGTCGGAGGAAGGTGCGGGCGCGGGTGGGGGTGGGGTGAATCCGTTTGCGGCGATGGCGGCGGGTGGGGGGAGAGTGGTCAATTTGAGTGGTGCGAGGGCGGTGGGGCAGAGGGCTTTTTAGCGGGTAGGGGGGTTAATGGACTTGTGCGTTTTCTTGTGGGGGCTTTTTTTGAGTGTGCTTTGAGTGTGCTCTTGTCTTTTGTGTTTTTGTGCTGTTTTGGCGTTTGGTGATTAATATGTATTTCCTCATGTGGGGGTTTAATGTGTCTTTTTTTCTTCTTCTCTCTCTCGCTTGCTTTCTTTCTTGCTGAGTTGAGTTCTCTAGTGGGTTTCTTTTCGAGATTGGTGCTTGTTACTGTAATGTATGCCTAAGCTATATGCGCTTAGAAATGTACAAACACGATTTGGCGCGGTGCTTCGTTTTAGTAGTTGTGTCTAGAAGTGGGGTCGTGAATGTGCTTGCTTGTGTTGGGTGCGGTCTTTGTAGATATTACTTCGTCTGGTGGGGTTGTTCTCGGGCACTAGGTGCTGGACTGTTTACTAAAGCTTCCCAGTTTTCGTAGGCTTAAGCTTAGTTGCTCACAATGAATGGCGGATATTATACGATAGATGCCCAGGCGCATACAGATTACTTCTCCATACAACAGAGTAGATACTCGGCCATTGCGTATTACAAGGCCACGCGCGGGTGTTGTTTGGGAACAGACGAAGGGAAGGGGTTTTATTGTGAAAGGTTACTTGAAGTAACTGCGTACACAAATATCCGGCCACGGTGTACTAGAGTAAATAAGGGGTCACTATGATATATATAAACCCACGCCATGACCATAGAGTAGGGTAGCGATAACTACTACACAAAACGCTAAGGCCAGCTGCAGGCCAGTCGGTAAACAACGCTTCGTCGATCCTCATTAATCCTCTAGCTAGCTAGCTAGATGCGTTCCCCCAATGAAATTAAACGTAACCCCGAACCTACAGCTGGCTAGATGTAGAGTAGGCAGTCCGGATTTTATTTGCCAGCTCAAAAACAAAAACAAAAAAAAAAACATGCCGGTGTTGAGACACGCTACGTACGTACGGGTTAAGCATAGAGTATGTGTGTTGTATTTAGTTTTGCGATTAATTCGGCGATAAAGCTGCAACACCGCCGCCGTGCGTGATACGATCTCAGCACCGCATTCATGTTCAGAGCAATCTAGCTAGTCCCAGACCCCCAGACATGACAGCGCCGAGCGAGGCCTCGATCAAAAACCACCCCTTCGTCTGTCCCCCCCCCCCCGCACACCCACCCGTGGCTTTGGGTAAGGCCAAATATCTAGAAAGGCCGGCCGGGCGCTGTCGATCACATGTATATAGCCAACAGTCCAGGATGGGGTAAAAACCACATCCTAATCATTGACCACTGGTGGGTTAGGGTTCGCATTATGACGTGCATGAGTCGATCCGCAGCAGCAGCAGCTGCACAGGGATAAAGACTGCCCCTCCTCTCTCAACCCACTCCACTAACCTTCTACTACAAACCACCTACATACCTACAAAAGCCAAGTACCCATAAATCCACAAAAAAAACACAAACACAAACACAAACACAGAAAACAATGGGACCAAAGAAGCAGCAGCAGCCCGAGACCTCCAAGAAGGCGCTCGGCCAGGCCCGCAAAGCCGACAAAGCCGCCGCCAAAGCCGGCGCCGAGAGCGCAAAGCACGCGGCCGCGGAGGACGAGGAGTGGAGTAAGGGGTCGAAGGATAGTGGGAAGAAGTAACCCTCCCCCCCCCCCCCCCCTTCCCTCCCTCCCTTGTCCCTGCCATTTTCCCCGCTGTATTTATGTGGGAGAGAGAGAGAGAATGTATGCTAATGTAGAATGTACCCACAGAGAAGCCGCCGACGCCAAAAAGCGCGAAGCCGCCGCTCGCAAAGCCGCCGCCGCCGCAGCCCTCGCCGAAGAAGAAGCTTCCCTCCCCTCAAAACCCAAGACCAAGTCCAAAGCGCCCGAAAAGCGCACCCGCGGCGGTGGCAGCGGACTCGACGGGGCCCTCGCCTCCCTCAACGCCTCGGGCATCGACGACGCGCTCGACGCGCTGTCGCTCACGGCCGACGCAGCCAAAGTCGGCGTGGACCGGCACCCGGAGCGGCGGTACAAGGCGGCGTATGCGGCGTACGAGGAGCGGCGGCTGCCCGAGGTGCGCGAGGAGCACAAGGGCCTGCGGCTGAACCAGATGAAGGAGCTGATTCGCAAGGAGTTTGAGAAGAGTCCTGAGAACCCGTTTAATCAGACGGCCGTGGTGGGGTATGATGCGACGAAGGAGGAGATTGAGGAGGCGAGGAGGAGGGAGAAGGAGAGGATTGAGGCGAGGTTGGCGGGGAATTAGGGGTGTTTGTGTGTGTGGGTGGGAGGGTGGGGGGGGGGGTTTCTTTAGGAGGTAGTGTTTTCTTGATTTCTCTTTGGCTGGCTGGCGGGGCGGTTTGGGGGACGGGTGATAGTTGGTGATGCGGACGGGGTATTAATTGTAGCTACATACATGTAGTAGCGTCTAGGGATGCGGATCATATTGCATATCATACCACAGAGCCAGCCAGTACCAGAAACAGCATCTCCAGCTAGCCCACCAGCCAGCCAGCAAAATAAAAAAATAAATTTGCTTTCCCTAACTTCTTCTTCTTACTATTCTTCCTAAAACCTAAAAGCTGTAACTCCACTCCTTCTTCTCCTTCTTCTCCTTCTTCTCAGTTTCACCCGGGCAATAATCTCCCATCAGGGCGAAAACACATGTGATATCCCCCCCGCCATGAAACGTGAAACAATCCCACCGACCCTCCAAACCTTAACTCTCTCTTGTCCCAACCCAACAGCCCGCCGCCCCCAGATTCAGATTACAGCATCTTTCTTTGTTACACCCCTCCCCTCACGGCCATAAAAAAAAAAGATACATACTTCTATAACTAACAAAAACACCAGCCCTCCCTCCTCCCTACCCCAATCTCACCCTCTAGTTACACTCTACCTCAACACAAACCCCAATCAACACCACCGCAATGGACATGGACACAGGCAGCAACAACACAGCCACCCAACTCCCCTCCTGCGCCGACACCGAGGACGACGACACCACCCTCGGCCCGCTCACGCCCGTGTCCCGCCACCACTCGGCCGGCTTCAGCAGGCGGCGGGAGTCCTCGTTCTCGGAGGCGGCGGCATCGTTCACGACGGAGGATTTTGCGAGGACGCCGCAGGAGGCGGCGGGCGTGGGGTTTTGCAGCGTGGGTGCGGGGATGGTGCAGGTGGTGCAGGTCTCGGGGAAGGCGGCTGTGGTGGGGGGAGATGATGTGGGGTTGGGGGATGAGGAGGAGGAGGTGGGGGAGGTGGGTATGCTGGTGGTGAATGGGAATGGGAATGGGGGAGAGGTGGGGAACGAGGGGGAGGAGAAGGACGTGGAGATATATATCAATGGTAAGTAAATACATATCGCAGTCTATAACCTATCTCCTTCTTTCCCATACATACACATAAATATCAAATCTGATATCTAACCCCCCCTCCTCCACACCCACAGGCGCCCTCTACACCCTCCACGCCGACGCCATCCTCCGCCCCACGCCCACGCCCATGCCCACGCCCACAGCCCTCCCCATCCCCACCGCACCCTTCACCGGCTACGCAATCCGGTCCAACAGCATCTTCAAGCCCCTCGGCGGCAGCCCGGCGGCCATCGACCTCACCACGCTCTACCGCGTCACGCCCACCTCCACTACCACCCCCAACGGCAATGACAGCGAAAAAAACACCTACCACCGCATCAAGCCCGTGCAGCAGCTGCTGTCCCGCGGCACAAGTGGCCAGGAGGAGAATATGTACATCTACGACAACCAGCAGCAGGGCTTCGTGCGCACAGACACAACGGCGCGATTCCCAGCTGAGGAAGCACTATCACTGCGCGGCCTGGGGGAGCCGGGGGAGGTGGGGGAGGGGAACTGCGAAGAGCTATTTGCGTCAGCAGAGCGTGCGCTGCGGCGGGTAGAGCGGGAAGAGGCGGTGCGGCGGAAAAAGAGCAAGAGCAAGAAGGAGAGAGAGAAGAGGTTCCCGTCCATTGCGACGCAGGTGGCGCAGTTCCAGCCGAGTCACAGCTCGCCGCTGGCGGGGCCGGCGATTGCGTTTCCACCGCCGCTACCACCACCACCGCAGACACCGCCGCCGCCGGTGATCATCGAAAGACTAGTATCTGACCAATCGACAGGTACGGGCGGCGGGCAGGGCCAGAGCTCATGGCTGAACATCGATCTACCGCTACAGCGCCCCGGCACACCCGCACCACACAGCTCCATCTTCACCGAATCCGCACCCTACACGCACCCGCTCCCCCCCGTGCCCACCATCCCCGCCGCCGCCGCCCACCACAACCACCCCCGCTCCCGCGCCCCCTCCGTAACCAGCTCCATCACCTCCCACATCTCCCAATGGACCACCCGCTTCTCCCCCCGCCGCATCTTCGCCCCCGCCACAGCCTGCCGCACCCCCCAGCAGCAACAACATACAGACCTCTACGCCCCCGCCATCACCCTCCAACAGCTAGTGAACGAATGCGTACTAGTCCTCTGCCTCTACGGCCACCGGCGCTCGCGCGACCCGCGCATCGCGCGCCTGCCGCTGCCAAACGCCGTCAGCGACGACGACTTTGACGACCGCGAGCTGCTGACGCAGATGCGCGCGCGGTATAATGCGCTCCGCGGGTTCTGGCGGCGCGTGTTGTCGCTGAGGGGGTTGAGGCGCATTGCGGTTGTTGAGGTATGTTTATGTTCTTAGCTTGGTTGTTGTTGTTTCCCCGAGGAGGTGGTGGTGGTGGTGGTGGTGGGTGTGTAGTGCTAATGTATGTATGTGTTTTTCCGCTGGCAGTATCACCGCGCAGAACGTCACGTTTCGTCCACGTTCCAGGGACCGACGCATTCGCCTACTCGGCTGCTGGAGTGTTATCTGCACCCATACAAGTGCACAGGCGAGCGGCACTGGGTCGAGTGGGCGCACCGGCTTTCGCTCGATGAGGACCGCTATGCGCTGGAGTTTGTCGAGGCGTGGCGGGCGGACAAGGTTGTTCTTGCCGGCGTGGTGCCGCTGTCGCTGAGCGTGATTGCGGGCGTGGTGTGGGGGCTGTATGGGCCTGACCAGAGGCACCTGGCGGCGTTTGTGCTCGCCATATTGGTGGTGGTGTTTGGGTGGTCGGTGGTGGCTTTGATGGCTGTCGTGAGCTATCTGGTTTAGGGAGGGGAATGGGATGGGATGGGGGAAGGTATATAAAGACTTCTTTTTCTATTTGTAACTAGGCTAGTTGTTGTGTTTTACTTGGAGATTAGGTAGATTTACGAAATACTAGCGTGCGGTCATTGGCTCATCATCAACTAAAGCAGGAAGAAACAGAACCCCGCCACCCATAAAGCTTCTTTCCCCCCACTTCACTCCACTTCACTCCACCTCACTTCCCCACAGAAAATATCTTCCATTTCTCCAAAAACAAAACCCAGAACCCACAGCTTGTTAACAACTAAGAAACAATGAGCACCAAATCCAAACCCACCAGCACCCCAATAGAGCTGCTCCCAACCGAACAGTCGGCACCATCAGACCCAGAAACCGCAAAGGTGGACAAGATGTCCACAAACGTCGCCATCATGGCCTGCGGCGCTGGCCTCTTCTCAGACGGATACCTGAATGGAGTATGAATCACCTTTTTTTGCTCACTTCCTCACTCAATGGGGGGAAAACCCTAACCCGGTGTGGAAATGAAATCAGATTATTGGTGCCGTAAACACGATCTTGGCTGTGGCCTGGCCGGAGCACTATACGCCTGACAAGTCGAGAATTGTGACTTCTGTATGTTTGATCATTGACCCTGCCCCACCCACCCCACTTGGCTTGGCGGAGGTAGTGCGTGAGTGAGTGCGTGAGTGAATGGATGTGGCTGACTAGGATGATGATAGATTGGGTTCGCGGGGATTGTGCTGGGCCAGTTGTCGTTCGGCTTTATTGTGGATCGGTGGTCGAGGAAAATGGGGATGCTGATCTCGAGTGGCTTCCTGGTGGTGTGTAGTATCATGTCGGCGACGGCGATTGGAGTGACGCCCGGGCCGGTGGGGGTTGTGAGTTTTTTTCTCTTTCCTTCCCTTCCTGGTTTCTTTTCTTTGGCTTTGTTTCTGTGTTCGTTTGGGGAAGAGTGGTGGTTGATTGTGATGTGCAGATCCAAGCATTGATGGTATGGCGCTTCTTCCTCGGAATCGGTATCGGCGGCGAGTACCCGTCGGGCTCCGTCGCCTGCGCCGAGTCCTCCGCCCAGCGCAAGAAAGGCCGTGATTTTATCTTTATCATCTTTACCAACACCCACATCGGGCTCGTAAGATTTACCCTTCCAGCGTTGCATCATGGATTATCACTCGGTAGAATATTAACTCTTGCCAGGGCCTTCAATTCGCCGCCGTCATGCCAGTAATCCTTCTCGCGGCCTATGGCACCGATCTGCACCGTGTCTGGCGCGTCGCCCTCGGCCTCGGCGCTCTCTTCCCCTTCCTCATCTTCTTCATCCGCTTACTTATCCCCGAAAACGAGCAATCGCAGCAGCACGCCCTTCGCGACCGCAAAGTCCCGTTCAAGGTGCTCATGCGCTACTACTGGCGCCCGCTACTAACGTGTAGCGGCGTGTGGTTCATCTACAACCTCTCGTCGTTCTCGTTCTCGCTGTACAGCTCGTTTATCGTCAAGACGGTGCTGGGCGAGACATCGCTGATAAGGGTGTTTGGGCTCACGGCATGTATTCAGCTGTTTTTGATACCGGGCAGTGTGGCGGGGGCGTGGTTTAGTGAGAGGTTTGGAGCGCAGAGAGGATTGGCAACGGGAGTGTGGGCGCAGGCGGTTGTCGGGGGTATCATTGCGGCGTCATGGAGCGCCTTAAAGGGGAATGCGGGAGGGTTAATTGTGCTGTATGGGTAAGGCTTCTTAGATATATCCCCAGTGGGTAGCCTGTGCTTGGACTGGTTTAATTAGCACAGTTAGACTATCAGGGGCCGGTGATAATCACAGCAGCTAACAGACACTTCATCCAGACTCTTCATCTCCCTCGGCGAATTCGGACCAGGGAACAACATCGGGCTCCTCTCCGCCAAATCACCTGCCACCTGCGTGCGCGGCAAGTTCTACGGTATCGCAGCGGCGTGCGGCAAGTGCGGTGGCTTCATCGGCACCTACACCTTCAACATGGTGATTGCGGCCTGCGGCGGATTCGAGAGCGATTGGGGCCTTCGGGCGCCGTTCATTATTACGGGGTGTTTGTGTATTATAGCCGGGTGTTTAGCGATGTTTGGGCTGCCGAGGGAGCTGACAAAAGAGGCGATTCAGGAGGAGGATAAGAGGTTTGAGACGTATTTGGATTCGTTGTAGAGAAGGGGTTGAGCGTTGGTTGTTAGCGGGTATTTTGGGGGCCTTTTTTTGACCTTTCCTTTGGTTGTTTAATTTATTTATTTGGTTTATTTTTTGATGAGTATATAGTCAAATACAGGAATACGACACCCCGCTGCGCATGCTATTGATGATTTATTTAGGTCGATGTTGTTTAGACGACCATCCAATCAATAGTCCGGCGATCTTTTAGTCCTTCCATCGTTTTGAACTTTGAGCTATAGAATTTTATGTCTGCTTGGAATACCATGAGCTGTGGCGAGAGCCTCTTAGTGTAGATTTTTCCTTCCGACTTCTGGGAGATTTGGGTACAGTCAGGACTGTCTGAGTGTATTCGAAATGGCCACAGAGTGCCATCTGCTCTAAATTCGAACTCATAAAGCTGTGCTTCGTGGGAGCGATATCACCCTAGGTGATTCAGTTCAAATTAGCAGGTTGAGTGTTGGGTTGAACACACTCCACCTATGTAGTCAACTGGTAATGACCAACGGCGGAGGAGTGTTCGGTCGTTCTGACGGTTGTGGGAAAGGAACGAGACTAACCTTTCTCTACTCTAAGCTTCTATTCTTTGATCATTGCCTATCTATTATCAAGGTCAAACTGCGGCACTGGTTGTGTAGACAGGATAAGATGCTCGTCACAGATACTCATGGTCTGTGAAAGTCACACGCGCTTAATAGAGTGTATATGAGTTGATGACGATAGCTGAGGAAGAGTCCTCTAATCGTGAAGATATAACAGCTAGTCTGGTATATCTGTTCTACTTGTACAGTGCTCAGTATTCTCTCTAGTTATGAATACAGTATTGCTATCGGTAGTCTCGTAATCTATCCTTACAATCTGTTTCTGCTGCATCCTCCTGCCAGTATGTTTATGGCTACGGAGCCATACTAGAGCGAAGAGCATTGTGTACTTTATTCTGACTCTCAAAGCTACCACATTTCCCATATGCATCCATGACCATTTACTACACATTAAACGAAAATTCCACTTCATTGATGTCTCCCCAGGGCAGACAGAATACCTACTTCCAAATATTTTTGGTCTGTCATCCTACCAGACATTGGTTACAAACTTCTCTTCTGCCACCTGGGTGTTATCAGCGCATACGGCTTCTCTCCATAAAGATATTCCACCGATATCTCCTCACGCTCAGGGCCCGGATCCCTTTTAATTAATCGCCTATGCAATGCCCATGCTGCCCTCTACCATCAATCATTAGCCTTATATTATCTCCCGGACTCCAAAGGAGCTAGGATTAATATCTCAGTTTACCGTCCGATAAACGAAACAGGCAATTCTCATCCCCTACGCAGGAACCCAATCGATGCACAGCGCACACGGCGTCCCCACAACCTCCCTTCCGCTATCTATCTAACTCCAAACCAGGGACAGGACAGTGGTGGGGCTGGTAGCAGGTCCCTTACATACCCACCGCGCTCCCGAGGTCCAAGAATTAAGCTGCCCCTGAACACAAGACCACAATAGGGCCCGCGCCTTAATCTCGACAACAGCGGCAAGATAGAGTAGGTGTATATACACACTGAAACAACATGTTTCGCCTCTCGCCTATATACCTTAGTACTCGGATATTGCATATGCTCCGTTGCCGCCGGCACGGTAGGTATTTCTATCACTGACCCCCAGCGTAGGCCCTTCCGACGGGTGCCGGGAAGCCCGTCAAGCAGTTATCCCGCATCCGGAAAGAGCCTGCGAGTGATGAGCTATGACGCACCACCAACCATATCCCCCCCAACCCCCAACCCCCAAGCACAATTACTATCGTATAGTACCTGATGTACTCCTCTCTTTCTTCACCGATACCTAGGCCTTGAAGACGCAATAGCTTCCTGATATCGATCTATACAAGTATATGCAGTTTTATATAACGAGTGCCCCGACCCCCCCCCCCCCTCCCCGGTCCATGGCATCCCGTGTTTGCAAGGGCTGCCTGCGTGCGTACGTGGAACGTCTAAATAGATTAACGAACCTTGCCTCTTACTACGCTATCTACCACACGCCTGCCAACAACAACAACAACTATATACAACGAAGAAAACTCCAATATCTCATAAGGGGGCTAGCCAAGTAGGTAGGATCTAGCGCACGTGATTTCGCGAATGGAAATATCGCCGATCCTGGCCGTGCGAATGTTGAGGATATCCTCTAACTTACTAACTATTCTAGTAGCTAGCTAGTTGGGTGATATTATAATCTGCGAAGGGGATGTTCACAGTACGCAATTGCTGATCAAAAACAACCTCCAAAAAGTGCGCAATTAACACCCAAGGAACACCCTAGTATCTGTTCAGTGTTTTTTTTTATTTCGTCTCTGATAATGATGTACGTACTAGCTAGCTAGCTATAGATAGAGAGAAATCAACCACGACCACACAGACCAACCAGTGCTCCCACCCCACCCCATAAGAATGCTATGATAGACAAAGAAGACATAAAGAGAGTGTACGCTGCTAATACTTAACCCCCCCCCCCCACAAACTACAATCCAAAAACACCAGGTCGCTGTGGTAAATATGCATAAAAACAGACAGAATGTGATCGAGGAAGTAGGAAGTAATTTTTGACCCATGATAATCATGCATAAAAGAGAAAAAGAAAGAAAAATAAACACTACTTAGCCACTAATGAAATAAATAAAATAAAAAAACAGCCCATCCTAGATGCGCCCCGCCGAAGAAAAATATATATACAAAGAATTGAAATAAGAGAAAAGAAGAGAAATGCATCCCCCAGCCAGTCATGAAAAAGAAAACAAAAGAAAAGAAATAAAGAGAAAAAACACCCGCTACCGCTACCACAGATGCAGATAGATAGAATCACCTAGCCAATAACCCATAAAAATTTTAACAACGAAAACGAAAAAACGAAAAAACCAAAAAACCAATATCATATGTGCGTGTACTCAATACTCAATCCTCAAAAGAACCTATGCCCCACCCCCTGGCCCGGTCTCGAACTCTCCGCCTCCTCCTCCGCCAACCAACTCTGCTCATACCTCACCCTACTTCCCCTCCTCTCCTCCGACGCCCTCTTCGCCCGATCTCTAATCTTCCTCATCTCCAGCTCGAGCTCTGCCGCCGTCATATTCGACGTCTCGCTCGTCTCCGTCAGTATCGTACTCGCACCAATACTTTTCCTGCTGCTCGCATCCGGCGCCACCGCCAACGGCTCTGGCGTGTTGCGTGGTGTATACTGGCGCGCAGGCGTGGGCGAGAGCCCTGTTGTGGAGCGGGTAATGGTGTTGATGGTGTTTAAGGACGAGATTGTGGATGGCACTGAGAGGACTGACATTTTTGAGTTGGACCCGGAGCGGGACATGAGCGTTGGTAGGAACAGCTGGCCGCTGGCGACGTCCTCTGGGTCTGGCGGGATGGGCGGAAGCTGCGGGTAGTTCTTTTGGCGGGAGGGCCCGAAGGCGGATGTGCGGACTCTTGGGGCTGTTGCAAACTTTGGTGGCGAGCTGGGCTCGATGGGGATGTTTCTGTCCTTTCGGCGGAGTGGACGGGAGGGGGAGGAGGGGGTAGGGGAGGAGGGCGCGATGGGCGGTGGGGTTGGCGAGTGCTTTGAAGGGACTGGTGGCGGAGCTGGGTCGAGGTCTAGGACGCTCCGGCCGTTCCACGAGAGTCTGTGGCCGTGACCGTGGCTCTTGACGGATTGCTCTGCAGACTTGTCGGTACCAGAGGAGAGTGTGGAGATCCTGGATGGCTGTGAAGACGATGATTTCGAGTTCCGTGAGGTGTCGAACCCGCCAAACGCCGCCCAGGCAGGCGGACTTGGGAGGGGATCGGGTGTATTGACTTTCTCGATGTGGATGGGAGACGGCGACTTCTGCTCCTTCTTTGAGCGGCTGTACTGCGACGAGATGTGGTCCGAGAGATTTGTCCCGTCGTGCAGCTGCGTGTATGAGAATCGGCTTGACGTCCGATGCGATGATCGGAACGACGACCGCTTCGACGCCGACTCGCCGGGGATGTTGGCTCGCACCAGGGCCGTCACGTTCGGATACCGCAGCGCAATAGCAGCTGGTGCCGCTGGGGGCGGTGACAGTGACTTGAAGATGCCGTTGTCTCCGCTATAGGGTGAGAAGTCGCGCGCAGTCGACAGCTCTGTCTCGTCTGGCGACACGGGTGACAGGTTTGTGTCCAGCTCCAACGCCGTAGTCGGCCTCGCCGAAGACGTCCTCAGCGGTGCATTCTTCGTGTTGACCACAGGATAGCTGTGTCTCTTCGACTCCCTCTTCTTCTCCTTTGCTGCTGCCTTTGCAGCGCTGTTATTCCGCGAGTGGCCACTGCCGCTCGCACGGTCTGTGTAGAAGTCGTTTGACAGCGGATTGCCCATGATGCGCTCAATCTTGCCAATGACCGGCGCCGCACCTTCGTCCTGCTGCTGCTGCCCGGGCCCGTTCCACACGCTGTAGCCCTGCCCAAATACCACGCCCCGCTCAACCCCGTCGCCCGACCGCCGGCTGCGGCGGAAGCCCTGCTCAACAATGTCCCGTGCCTCCTGGTGGGAGTGCGCCGCGCGGGGTACCGGGCTGATCACATCCTCCGCATCGCGACCGCCGCCTCTTTCACCACTGCCGCCGCCAAAGCTGCTACTCGCGCCGCTCCGCCGATGTTTACCAGTCTTGGTGTCGGCTGTGGCGGCGGCATTTGCTGCCTCCTCATCCTGTTTCTCGGTGCCCGCTTGGTTCCGCCGTCGCTTCTTGTACGCACGGACAAAGATGATCACTGCACCAATGAATGTTATAAGAACAAGAAGTGCAATAACCGTGACTGACGGTACGATAACTTTTGGGGAGACTGACGAGGATGCCGCGCCGCTGTCGGAGGGCATGATGATGCCTGTGTATCTTCTTCTACTTCCTCTACTCGGTCCAGGCCCAAGCTCGATGTTCCTTCCTCTTCTTCCTGCGGTATGGGCGGGAGCGGAGCTGTGGGGTTATAAACCGATGTGACGCCGGAAGTCCTCAGGGAAGTGGTCGTGGAGGAGGCCCTCTGATTGACAATCCCAGACCTTGCTGACCCCCCTGCCCTTGTTCCTGATCCTGTTCTTGCTCCTGTTCTTGCTCCTGTTCCTGCTCTTGCTCCTGTTCCTGTTCCTGTATAACTCGTCCTAGGACTGCCCTTCTTCTTCCCACTCCCAGCACTGGTATGTCCGCGCCGCCTCCGTTCCCGCACCACAAGCGTCGGGGACAATCGCCGCCTATGAACCGCGCCCACAACAACGACCAAGACCGCCTTCTTCTTTTTATTCTTCTTGCTTAGGTGTTCTTGTCTCTGGCCGCCGCGTAAGAGATCAACCAAGCAGCAGTAGCGGATGAATGCCGATTTCTTCCAGATACTACTAAGGGTAGTAGTAGACTCTGATTTTGGATTCTGCTTTTTTTGAAGACGGGGAGGAAGATTACTACCTGGATGCTGATGATGTGAACCTGAGCGTAGACGTGAACTTGAACGTGCAGGACTGACAAAAGGCATCTGGCGCTGGCAGTGTCACCATAAAAAGTGAGTTTGGGATTGCCGACGTTCGATTGATTGGGGGGCGTAGGAATTATAACAGAGCAGGGAAACTAGCTAGCTAGCATTGACAGGCAGGCAATAAAGAATATATATATATAAATAAATAATAAAAGCCACCACCGGCTGAATATAAGGGTAGTCGCGGCGGCGGTAGCAACAAGAGAAACGAATATATACCCAGTGTAGTGCTGTGCAGGGGGGGAGGTGGAAGGGAAGTGGAGACCGATATGTCGGTATGAAGACAACACAAAAAAAAAAGAGAGGGTCGAAGCCAAAAATATGGGAGGGAAGGCGGGGTAGATAAAAAGAAATTGCTCTCCAAAGAGTAAATAAAATTCCAACACCACGCACCTCACCCTCCTCTTCATGTAGGTACCTATCCGGCCAAGACACACACTCTCATGATCAACCACCCATATCGGTGCGAGATCATAAAACAGTACAGGGCCAAGATACGGAACAGCTGCATGGAGGAGGAGGTGGGCAGTCAACAAAATCGGCAAGGAGGCCGGCGAAATGCACTGTAAAATGCCCTACATACAGACAGTATGTAGAGTACTCTGCATTTGCGAGAAGGGGTAAGGGATGGGGAAGGGTGCTTGCTGGTGCTGAAGGTGGTGGTGGGAGAAGATTATCTGCATCTTGGGCAGGGATGTCCGAAGAAGTAAATAATAATTTACTCACTAGGTACCGGTAATAGAATATGAAGCGCAAAAAGCGGTGGTTGCAAAGCAACTGTATGCACAATATTACAGTACGAAAGTGAAAAAAAAAGTCGTGATGGTGTTGTCGGTCGTGATGTAGGTGCAAGGGTCAGTTACTCTATCATGGTACCTGGGTAGCACGGACTACCCCATCTCGTCATTGCCTGCCAGGACACCCCTTCCTACTTCGTCCAGATGCCTGAAACCTTCCTTGTATTTTCCCATGTTCGGTCCGCGGATTAAACCGAAAATCTTACAATATTGTAGTGTTTGCTTCAGGAGCCGAGAGTCAGAAACAATTTATCAAGCGGGATTGGATATACAGCGACCAGAATGATCTATGGAAAAACAGGGGGGGTGAAATTGTATGGCGAAATATCTGTGCACCATATAACTGTTTTTTCCATAGATCATTCCTATCGCTGTACCTAGTTGGCATTTTTTCGCTACCAAGCACTCGTTTCCTTACACGGCCACTTATTATTAGCCAGGTCGATGATTGCCATGCCCACATGCTGAGTTCCAAAAAGGGGGGGGGCAGAAATGATCAAAAAGTAAGTTCTTTGCCTCACCGACCACTAGTTTATGACGTTCACGCATGCAAACTCTAACTAGATCCCTAGTAGTTCGTATGTTGATATCTGCATATATTCCTAGACGCATATGTAGAGTACCGGGCGCTTTAGACGACGTTGAGTCGTGTCCCTCTTCTAGGTAGCGCTGGTGAGTCCACCGGTAGAGTGCACATGTGAGTACAAACTTGGAGCTGAATAGCGTACGGCACATACATACATGTAGTATTTGTTGCAAGAGTAGAGCACTTGTACTTACATGTAGGTACTGTCTAATAATATAATATCGTGTATTCCTGCCCCAAGTCCCAAAGAACCCTTCACTCACTATGTAACTGCCTGTCGAACCTGTGCATTGATTCATCTGCGTTCAGGCTACCGTCAAAAAACCAAAATTAAAGCCACAAAAAGTACTGTGAACATTTCTCCAAGTCTCAAGAAAGTACTGTCGTTCACGGGGTATTGACGGGCACTGGGTGTTGACGAACAAACCAAAAAAGAGACAGCTAAGCTAAGTTTTGCCTGCAATCCGTCAACACCCAGTGTCCGCCAATACCCAGTGAACGACAGTACCAATCATGACTGAGACAAAAGCCACCAATAATCGAGACGAACGGGTGGCCGCAGAGCCTCAATACGGCTGATCTGCGCTAATAAATAAAGTCTAGCCTGGTTAAGGATCCTTAACGTCAAACGTCCACTAACGGTCCGGCAGTTTTTTATTAGGAGCTAAATAGATGAGAACCTTCTCGCTTTCCTTCTCGAGCAATTTAATTACTCTACGCTGCCATCGTCTGCCGAATTGGCAAAACGCTCTAACCAACTATTTTGAGCACCCTTCGATATGGCCATGGCTGAAGAAGGCTGAAGTGGCTGGGGTGTAAACTGGGATCCCCCATCTTCACTTGGTCTGAGGGAGTTATATCTCGAAACGCTATGTGTGAGATACTTTATGCACTACGCTCGAGCTTTTGTCAGTATATATGTTCTCAAAAGAAGAAAAAAAATAAAAAAGTGTCTTATGCTCAGGAGTGAATAAGACATATCGTATCGCCTTAGCATCTAAATCAATCGGGACCAGACCTTGCTTGAGAGCGGTCACTGGAACCCCTGGCGAGGGTCGTCGCTACATACATTTCGGAATGTCGGCGTCTGTCGCGCTAGGTCCCGTCGGTGGCTTTAGCTGTGGATGAGCGAAGGGGTGTAGCGACGTTTCATAAATCCACTTGCTTGTTTTTGTCAATCGCCTTCTCTACTTCAATTGGGCAAGTGGATATTGAGATCCTGGACGCTCATCATGGAGATAGGAATGTCGAACCCATTCCACAGCACGAATAGCGGTTTCATAACTGCCCCAATGCCCTTCCCTAATGCCCTTCCCCGTGACTCAAATTTATCGGCCCGACTCACACTGATCCTCATCTCCAGTTAACGTTACTCTATTTCCTTTGATTCTAATTTGTAATGGCTGAGATTGAGAATGGGAATCTCGTACCTAGCATGGATCTCCTGGGATTCCCCTTGCTCACTTCTAGAATATACCCATCCTAGAATTCCCACCAAAGTTACATCATCCACCTGCTTGGGCTACTCGTGCATGAACCCCTTCCCATGCTTTCTAGAAGCTGATAAGAAATATTCCCATCCGAAATAAGGACATCTGCCACGAAACAGCCGAAACTGTGCTGTAAAGACCCAAGTCCACGGAGTCGTGGCCCTCAAAATTTCTCGGCATTTCCGTTTGTTTAGGTTTGTAACACTCCTAGACTAGGTTCTAGGCAGAGATACTGAACTCAGATTTCTTACTTTTGGAATTTGATATACCTATGGACAATACTCCAATATGTGAGCACGTGCAAGTTTAATTAAAAGATCTGTTTACAGCATTGTGTAGCTCTGCAGCCAGCCAACAGAGTGAGTGAGAAAATAGCTGAGTGATTTTGCTTGAAGAATCGTACGAGTTTTCTATCAGAATATACCACAACTTCTATGAACGGTTAGTTTGTGATGCGCGTATTACAAGACTCCCCTACCATCTGTAGTTACACCCATGGCCACTAGAATGTATGGGGTGATGTCTTACCTTTGCTACAATGTGGTAAGGCTCGAGTGTACTGTAGGTAAGGAAATAGCCAGATTGACGTTGGCGTGAAACGGATTGTTTTGATGCGATCTAGACGGTAGTTGTAGTATGTGTCTCGATTCGACCATATAACAAGGCACATATAACAATAATTCCTCCATTTAAGGGTTAGCGTGGATTGCAATCTCCGAGATATATACGGCACTATTGAATTCCAGGAGAGGGCTTACTTGCGCCTAAATATATTCGGTCACCCACATGGATGGATACGTGCGAATAGAAGGAGGCTTAAGCTTCTCAGGGGGTACTGTATCACCTATAAGGATAAAACAACCCACCAATCAAGGTTCCCACCAATCATCTCTATAAAGCATTAAGTGTATCATCTCCGGTCGATACATATGGTACCATATTGAAACAGATCTCTTCTTTACCGTGAATGTGGTCAACCACTAATCACTTGGATCATGCCTTACCGTTTACTCCCCGTAATACCGCATACCGCATGGTACGGGGTACGACTAGACTTACATTTAAGTTTCTTATTTTCTTCTGCTAGCTTCGAGACTCGTTAAATTCTTGTTGGATTTCTCAACATCAACATACGATTATATTCGACCTCTAAGTGAGAGCGATCAGTTGTTAGCCCGCTCAAAGTATCCTTGGAGTGCAGCCAAGTGTCTCGGCAGATAAATAAAAGCCTTGTCGTAACTCAGCTTGTAGACAGAGGCGAGGAGAAATGAAGCCGCCGGATCTACATTATGCATATTAACGTCGATCTTTCTTCGATCTTGTGTGGTACAAAGATACCGTTTCGAGAGAGCCCCGACTCTAGAAGGTAAAGATATCTAAGCAAGCTGAGTTATATCATACCATATTGATGAATTTCATTGAATCCAGAACATTCATATAGTCTATTCTTGACCCTCGGGGTTCCGACTTCAAACACACATTGTCATATCGCTCTCCACTCGTAGTGTCCACGACGGTGAACGTATTAGGGGGTATTTGGAATAGCTAGATGTGCTCGCTGGTTAAGAAAACTTATGAACCATTAGGAAACTATTAATAGGGCCTCCGATGATGATGCTTCAAGTCAGTTTCATAGTTTCATAAACTATCACTCGGGTGGATCACTAAACAGGGTTATATGCCACCTTCTTTAATCTTCGTGCGTTTTTAGCTTGTGAGAATCATACTCTTGGTTTTAAGTGGATAGGATCAACGTTCTGTGCTGATCTATGTTAGATACATTAGTGCTCATGTCGCAAATTTCCTTTCCTTAGATGGAGCAGGTCTCTTCCAGCAGATTTTGACGGCGTATTCGAGCCCGTAGCCACTGCATTCAACTGTTAAAGTATCTCGCTTACCACGTGTACCATGTGCAGTACCAAAAACTGCCTATACCATCTCTGAAGATTACTGGTACCCACGCCGTAACTTGTAAGGTAAGGGATGAGCAACTTGCTGGAACTGACCCCCCACTGTTATCCGGATAACTCAGCTGTGCCGCACAAGGGGGAGGAGGTGATTACACTCAAGAGCGCCACAGCCGATGGCATGCATGGATTTCCCCCGGATCAATTACCCGCTATTCCGCACAGGTGCAGTTGTGTCTGCAAAAGAAAAAAGAAAAAAGAATACTGGGCATAGATTATCACTCGCTTCAAAGACAGGCTCTTTACCGACACTATAATTTTCTTTAGCTTTTTCACTGGCTATGTCTTGAAGCAAGTGTAACTTTGAGACGGTACGATAATGATCCTATCCTCTTGTGTTTGGGGGCGGTTGGTGGGCTTACTTTCGATTCCAGACTTCCATCATGAAAGATCGCCTCCCTGGAATTTGGTCCATACGCCGAGCCCTATCCATCATCTAACACTCAACTGTCTTCGGGGGTTTTTGGAAAGCACTTTGATGGAATTTTCTATTTCCTAATGAGTTGATGGGGCGGTGTGACTTCGGAATAGACTCGATGGAGAAAAGTAAAAAATAACCGTTTCTCTGTCGGAGGATTATCCTCGCAACAAGACATGTGGTTGTAATCTAAGCAAGCCACCTGCCGTGTCTCCTGATGTAGCCACATCTCCTATCCACTAACATCTCTTTAGGACCTCGGCATATAAACGTGGTGTCGAGCCATAGATCATGATCCAGTTACCACAAGCCTCCCCGAAAACGTCTTTTCGGGGTTTTTGCGGTTCCCACGTCAGCTGGTGATTTTCAGCTAATCTCTCTGACTTCAACTATTGCCTACTGCTGGATGTTTCTGGAGATTTATGACTCAACTCACGATAAACACCCACCGGTTTGACTATTACGACCACAAGTCCAGTTCGTTAGAGGGACGGGGTACACTGATTATCCTCGTTTATAGATACGTTTACTTTCTCAGAGGGCCCTATGTCTCTCTCACTACACGGCCCTGAAATCCTTCTTTGCCGATCTAGTCATTGACCCAAGTTTTCTAGCAAGTAGAGTCTCAAATAGAGGTTCCAAGCAGAGCACTAAACTACCAAACCGGCCTATTCAATGATTCCTACTTCAACCAGCCTCCCCCTCCCCGTTAGCCGGCATCCAACGAACGACTATAACACCAGGCACAGCAAGTACTCGTTTACATTGTGTTAGCCGTCAAGAACAGCAGCCGTTTATTTAGCAATGGCCACGGGATAAGACGAGATCAGATTAGCGGTTATTTCATCTTGTACCATCTATGAAAGAAATGGTCTCTAGAGTCTCGAGATGTCCCGAGAATATTGCGAGACAATTGTAGTCTCGCATGCAATTGCTTAATACAAGCAGAAAAAATGCTCTCTTTGAGGAGTATTAAAATTTGGGATAAACATATCTATCTGGTGCAAGTTATTTGGCCATGTACCGGTCCGGCGGACCATTACTGGGCCTGTATGGAGTATATTAAGTGGCTAAAAGATCTTGCATTATGTCCCAAGACAAACCCCGGTCTTGTCTCAAGATAGTTGTCCCCCCAAACTCACTTTATTATTAGGTCTTACAAGCAGGCTTCGAGATGACACCCTATCTCGTGACCATCACTGCGTTCATTTTTGCTATCGACAAAAACAGGTCAATTTTTACACCTTCGCTCACTATTCTCGAACTCGGGCCTCGGGTTTAGACTCTTGGGTTGCTTGGTCGATTCTGCTACAGAACGAGCACGTATCGTGCGAGCTTGACTATCCCTCCTTCTGTCCAGGCATCGTCCCGGCTTGAAAGTCTCGGCATCGAGTGATAGGATATGAATAAATAATGCCCATTCAAATGCAGACCAAACAATACTTAACAGATCGTTTATGCAATTCGAGAAAGTCTGATAATAGTTGAACAAGGTCTTTAGAGCTTAAGGGGTGTGAATAGTTCACCGTCAACGATAGCGAAAGAAACACAGATACAGATTTCAGAGAGCTTATTTTTCACAAAGATGATCCTCACTTTGAACTTAGCTGTACCTCGGGAAATAAGCTGGTGCAATAGATGGGAATATTCGGGCCTCAGAACGGTTCCTCGGATGAATATGTACAACTCATTAAGTTGCTTCGACTGATTCATTGGAATTAAGTTGGAGTACTGAGGCCCGGTAGACCAGAACTTTCCGATAATTTCACCTTGCGGCTTTACCAAGATATCAGTCATGGGCTGGGCCACACTAGTCGACAGGAGCCTGGTGTAGCAATAGTAGCTGTAACTGTTGTTCGAGGTTATCTCGGCATTAGCAGGAGTAAAAACAAGACACTTATATAAAGGCACTAAACAATAAGAACCTTGTTGTATACATTGGAGCTTCGGCCTATACAGACTTCCATAGTTCATCCCATAGTTCATCCCGTCCATCCAAAGGTTTGAAGGACTGTCTTGGCTAGACGAGTGTAGTCCAATGCAGTCCATATGCAGTCCATATGCAGTCCGACGCAGTCCGACGCACGCGCAGTACAGTCCTAATTCTTGAGATTTAGTCTACCTGGGTTTGTATACATAGTCGATCGGCCGCGTCGGATAGAACCATTAGTCCGGCCCCGGCCCCGGTCCTAGGCGTTACCAGCACTCGAGGGAGATGCGTGAATAGTGCAGGACAATTAATTGCAATGGAGATTCCAGGTCCATAAATGTCTGCGCGCGCGCTGAGAGTCCAATTACTGCCAAAAAGGCCCGATGAAAACCTGCATTATCCGGTACTTTCTGCCCGCCCTACAAAGCGCTCAAGTAAGTTGAAAATACAAATATTTCAAGAGACTGTTGGTTCATGTATTGCAAACAAATGCATCTAGATAATCTAGATACATACCTCAATCCATAATGTCAGAGATAATCATGGGAATTAGGCGTATGTGCCTCGCGGGTTATCGCTTCTTCACCTTGCTTTCCCTCAAACTAAGACGATATAGATTATTCTTTTACGCTTAGTCGCGCTATAAAAACAGTAACCAATCTTTCTAAATCTAAACTTACAGCTAGTAAGTTAACAATAAAAGTCTTATCGCCTACTCAATATCTCCTATAAGGGGCGGGGAC